AATTGTGGTTTCTTCCAATTTGGTGGCAGTGACAAACCCCGCCTCTCTAGACGGGGCAGACGGGCCACCCCGTCGAACGGTCTACTGGCCACGCATCCTGAGCGAGCCATCAAGTACGCATGGGTTTCACCTGAGCACAAGCGACTGTGCGAGAGCGTTTGTGCGTATTCTCTCTCTTTCCCTCCACTCCGCCTTCTTCCTTTTTTCACTTTCTCTCTCTTCTTTTTATTGGTTTTTTTTTTTTTAACTTTTCTTCCTTTCTATTTTGTCTGGTAGAGTCAGTTCTGATGACAAGGAAATCCACAGGTCGTAGCAGACAACAAGTGCAAGGAGCCGCAGATGATGGGAGGAGATTTGGACAACGCTGTTAGCATAGCCGTCGTTCAATCCATGTACCCACGTTCTTACATACTGAGCCCGCCAATGAACATCTCTTGTCTGGAGACCAGCCATCTCCCACCATGGACCCTGAGGACGCTGGAACCAGGTTCTCCGGCTGGGCAACCAACCTGCTCGGCTTCGGTCCGCATTTCCCCGTCGTGCGCAGGATCATCCCAGTTCAGCCAGGGATTGCTAGGACCAGGAGTTCACAACGAAGGAAACAATTCCTCCCAACACGAGGAAGGCGACAGAATAGCAGATACAATTTGGTACGACTGTGTTCCGCTCGCCATATTTGAGGCAATTTCTCAGGCGGTACAGCACGAACAATCCTCGTTTTCCCCTCCCGAGGAGGTTTATCAATCCCAGGAGGATAGCAATACCGTCGGCACTGCCGGGTACAGCAATCATCCTCGGGCTCCACTGGCGCTGGGGGATGGCATCACTCTCTAATAGACCGATGTTTGACCGGGACGGAAAACCGGCGATACACACAAAGCCCGCTGCGCATTCCGCACAACAGGGCTCTGTTGGAGCCAGGATGCAATCTTCAGGTGACCAGAGGAGATCAACACTGTAATTTGCGCTTCTGCTGTTACGGCCGCCGATGCTGGACCCGCCGGGAAGCCTTCTGACTCGGTCCGCGACGTCTTCCGTCTCTCCGCGTGCCCTTGTGCCTGTGCGCGGAAATGACTGGCGCAAGAGACAGGGCCAGCTGAATGGCGACCGGGGTGCGCATGCGGGCCCTGCAGCGCACGAGCACCAACACTGCGCTTCAACCATCTATCGGTCGGCCGACCACAACTTGGCCCGCGAGTCAACGGCCCGCGAACGTTGTCGGTGGCTCAGGGTCGAGATGCTGGGAAGCTGCTGGGAAGCTGCTGGGGAGAGGCAGACGCCCCGTTTGGTTCCAACAACAACAGTCGTTCAAGAAGTCGCAGCATTGCTTCCCCTCTCGAGCAAGCAAATAATCGCAGTGTCCCGACAGACTGGTAACGAATGCCACTGGCACGCTTGGGGTCGGGCTCTCCTTCCTGAACCAAGAGACGGCATCATGCTGTCTGACTGCGCAGTATTAAAGACAATCACATCGCCTCGACGGTGTGAAGAATGCTCATAGCGTGTACGCCAGTTTTCGTTGTTGCCCGCGCCCGACTTCCGTCCGTCCATTCTCGTTGACACTGTCGACCAGTCTCAGCTCAAGACCGACGTCATGGATCCACATCAACGACGCCCTCAGCGCCTTGGCCAATCGCAGCGTCTACTCCAAAGACCCCAAGTCCAGACCCAGCAACGCAGCGCCAATCCTACACGGCATGCGGTGCGAGGTCAGCAACAGCGTGGAGGATCTTCTTCCCAAGAGGCGGCAAGCCGGCGCGAGGGCACCATCTCCGACACATGGATGCCGTCAACGTCAACAGACTTTGATTCTTTCGGTGGTTGGGACAGCCAGAGCCGGCACGAAGTACAAGGCTTCAGGTATGCGACGTTCACAGGAACCCCGCTCCGAGCCGAAGTCAATAGCGTGCTGACATCTCTAGCCTCCTGTCGATGACGTCGCTACTTCGAGAGCTTCAAGATGAGTTAGCTCGCCCGATCCAGGCATTGAAGACCGCCCTTTCCGAGATAGAAGACAAGAACGAGACGCATTCCAAAGCCATCTCTTGGCGGTGAGTCAGTTGATCGCATCTTTTGAGAGACGTTGGCTGACGTGCTACGAAGCCTTGAACAGTTGGAATCAAAAGTAGACCGTTTTCTAACTTCGGTCGAAAACACTGCAGCCTTGCCGATAGACTGGGACGGCATGGCTGGACAAGCGTAACGGTCGGGATGGAAGCGGATATGTGTCATTGTGTCAGTGCGTCAATGTTCGTGTTGGGTAAAAGGGCTGGATCTTTGTTGTGTGTAGTCTGATCTGGGACGCATCCCTGCATCAAATCAAGTTGGGCGCATGCCAATTTTCAACTGTGTCACACAGCTCCTCTGACGAGAAGGCGATGGATTATGGTCTGACGGTCGAGCTATGCAAACCTGAGGAAAGCAAGGTTGCAAATGAGAAATGCGAGCCTAAGAAATGCGAGCTTGACGACCGTCTCGCTTTTCCCTCGCCCTGAAGCATGCTCGACGACTCACCCATACGAGACCCCGGAACGTGTGGGGAAGAAGGTTCTGCGCCGTTACCGTACTGTCGGGTCGGACCAGGGGTTCGAGTGCTTTCCGCGGAGCCTCCTCCATGCCTTCGTGCAGAAAGAGGAAACGAGCCCGTAAGCGAGGAGACAATCTCAATAGGGGTCTTGCAGAGGTCTTGCAGGGGTCCGATCACACCTCTCAGAATGACAGTAGGCGGCTCCGCTATTCGACCAACGTCTGATAAAAAGCAGCTCGGCGCCTGGGATAACCATGCGTGCCTGAAGATGAGCGCACCCGTCCGGCCTACGGCTTTTGACCGAAGACGTACGCCTTGCGGGGCTGAGAGAAAATTAAGCCACTAGGCAGGCATGCATGATTTTCAAGTTTGATGTTCAGCCATATCCCATCCAACCATCCCCAGAGCCTATGAGCGGTCAGATGTCGTCGGTTACTGTATCTTCGCTTTGCGGAAGCGGCCAAGCACGGAACGCCAAGGCCAACCGATGACGCAAGCCTCCATCTTGTCAGCACTCTACTGCCAGTGGCTAGGTATCTTGAGCGGCAGGTAGGAATGGCCTGCCGGCATGTCTAGGGCCTTGCAGGCGCGAGGCGTCACGTGTGATCCACTCACATCAACCACGTCTGTTTTGACAGCATCTCAGTTGAGCTGGCCACTACACACTGAGAGAAGTCTTGCCGAAAGACTCTTGTCTCTGCTATGATCAAGGCAAAGAGTGCCAAGGGCCTGTGTCAAGTTTGGCATCACATACAGCACATTCAAGCCGTGTTGAGGGCAAACATCCGGGCCGCGCGGAAACAACGACCCACGCATGCCTCACTAGCTTCGGAAATTCTTGCTTGTAGAGGAAGATGTCCACTCGCAATGGACGCTAACGGTCTTCGACATGCAAGCAGAAACTCTGTTTCGTCGGCCTCACCAAGAATAGCAGTGATGTCTGTCGTGGGATGCTGCGCTATGTAATTACTTGACTGAATTGTTCGTTGGTTTGCTCCACCGCACGACTCGCGAGGGCCGGCTCTAGGACGCTCTCAGCTGTCTTCTGGCAACGAAGGCGCACGTCGCAACATATTCCCGCAGCGTACTATTTTCTGGTCTCAATTTCTCCATGACGACTGATAAGAAGGTCCATCAAAACCGTTCGTCATCCCGTTGACGAGTGAAAGCAATTCTGGAGCAACTCTGGGCGCTGTCGGTTGTCCCGACCACCCTGACACATACCCTTCCGCTTGCCACGGTGAGGTATGCGCGAACGACTGTATCCCGTTTGGAGGGCTGCAAGCTGATCAAACAAGTCCGCCGCCGACCGACAAACGCGAACCTGTCCCACCGCACACCCTGTGCATCATGAGACGGCGCTTTGCGTTGCGTTCTGAGCTCTCTGTCACGAATGCAAGAAATAGAAACTGTGAGATCCCAGCGGTTGATGGTAATGATGCTGTCGTCAGCAATATTCCCAGCATTGTTGCAACACCGGTAGACACGTGCTAAAGGGCACTGATTTGGGAGAAACAGCCCAAATGAAGTGTATGATTTGTATGAACGTTGATTGCAATGTACGCTACTATTGGACTCCCTTCCTTTGTCGACAAGTCTAGAAGAACAACACGTCCACGACAGAAAGCTGGCTACGTCGAGAAGCTTTGGTGCTCAACGTGTCATCTAGCACAGCTACGTCGCCCGCATCGACACCATCAAGTGCCTCGTAGTATTCCAAAAATGCGTATGGTGAAGTTCAGAAGATTGGCAGCGCTACAGAGGAGAATAACAAGCCAGAACGCAGTCATCGTGCCGGGCGGGGGTTCGATGTGCAGATGTCCGTGCGAGGTAGACGGTCGACCAAACGTGCTGCTTGCGCCGCAGATGTGTCGGTCTGGAAAGTCGGGTGAAAGGTGCAGAGACGACGAGTTGGACAGCGGGCAAGACGGCTGAGTGGTCGTCGCGAAACATGGTGGCTGGGACAGAAGTCACAGTGTGGTTGAACACCAGCTGTGACCGGGGCATGCCACGACCACAACATGCCTTGCGGCATGGCCACTTCTAGACCAGCAATCCTTTCGACCGAGTACGTTCCGCAATCGAGTCCAGTCTGGACCGTAGTCCATGCAGACGACCTAGACCACGGTCGAGGGTCGAGATCGTAGCGGGGTAGCCTGTCTCCCCGAGAGAGGTCACACCCAGGGCGGACCGCATTGCGACGAGCCACTTTCGGCCGGGTCTGCACTTCACTAGGGGCCGAATCTGACTCCGGAGCAGAAAGCCAGGCCGTGTGGGGCGGTACAGAACATGAGATGGTCGAAAATGGACGTTGTGGGACCCCGGGCCGACCTCACTCTGGCTCCAAGCCATATGTGAGAACGATATGTGAGAACGTTACCGCGCTGCCGTCCCAGACAGGCCCGGTCAAAGTTGCGGGTCCCTTGACAGAACACGATTACCGACAGGCAGCACAGAACCGTACATAGCAACCATGGCCAGCCCACCACGAAGAGAAAAAGTCAGCGCCGAAGAAAAAAAAGCCAAAGACAAGGTCCGCAAATCCGGCAGGAGCGCCGAGGGGAAAATCATCCAGTTGGGCGAAACGTCCCAGGTGTTTTCCACCGTCGTCTACTTCAACCCGACATATGAGCGGCTGGAAGGGGCCGTGTACGTCCCCGAAGGCCAATACATGCCGGACGTGAATGGATTTGTAAGTCGCAGTGCGGAGTCACCGAGGAAGACAAGAGACGCTGACGCGGCGCGACGCCTTGCAAGTTGGTCGAGCTGCTGAAAGACTCGCGTGACAAGGGACCGGGGCACGGCCCACGGCGGGCCCAGACAGACCGTCAGCTGCGCCAGCCGTCCAGGGCCACCGTACGCAGCGAAGGTGATGTGCGGACTAGCAGCAGTGAGGTCGGCGCGGCTGCAGAGGAAACAGCTCATGAGAACACGGCCGTGTCGCAGGCTCACGACAACAGCGTCGGCATCAATGGCGCCGGTTGCGCTGGTGAGGCGGCCATCGGCCACTTCGGGACACCATATGCAGCCAGGCGGGGGGAGAGGAGAACCGAGGATTGGCCCCAGGTTGACCGGCGCATGGCCGACGACTCGGCCCTCCGAAATGCTGGCCGATGTGTCATCAAGCAAGAGATGCTCGATGGTGCTGTCGCTGATGGTATCCGTCGGGCGGATACGTCGGTTGGCATGTCTGGCATGTCCGGCATCAGGTCGCACAGCGTTTCCGAAATGGCGGAGGCCGGGCGCAAGGTGGAGAACGGGCGGTCCGGAGACGTCTCCGAGTGGGAGACGGTTTATGCGCAAGACACAAGAGCTCCGACGGTACCGGCGACGAGAGCGGCGCGCGCCGGCCTCTCCAGGACGCAAGCGGCCAGGGTACAACGCTTTCTGCAGCAGGTGTCTCTGCACATGCGGCTTGTGTCCCGCCAGGAACGACTCCTGCCGTACCGGGTAGCTCACCAAGACAGATGGCGGAGTTCGTCACAGCGAAACCGTAGGCGATAAGCGCGTTTGATCCGTCTGCCTGGGGCTAGCCACTATAGCCTCGCAGGAGACAAATATTTGTGATTATCGGGAGCGAGATCTCTACCACGTTTTCTATATGCGTTCGAATTTTGTTTTCGCCCGTGCTTCCCGCCCGTGCGTGGATTCTGTCAAATTAGCTCACGAGCGATTGTGCCTTGCAAATACAAACGTCTATATGAGGAGGTCTAGATGTGCCCTCGGAAACCGACATTCATTTCTTCTAAAGTTACGTCTGTTATACTAACTGACTGAAGCGTCTGTCTTCCTCTCTCTAGTGCGCAGCTTCATCAAGACAGCACATCTGTGACGTAGAGGGCATGAGGCGCATTCGGCAACCATTCTGGGGTGCCCGCTTTCTTGTTCTCCTCTCTCAGAGGCCCCAGACGACACAAGTGCAGGACCGACAGCCCGCTTGGTACCCGGTTTCATTGACGCATTGAACGCAATAGAACAGGTTGTATCCAATCCTAGTCATGCCTACGTCTTCAGGATCGTCAGTCGAAGTATGCTCGGCCTCCTTGCGACAACGCATGCAGCGGATCTTGCTGATCGTCAGCGTATTCATGACGGAAGCTGGTATACGTGGATGTTTCGGGTGTGGTGCTTTCTACTGTGCTGGTTGGCGCACGGCGTAATATGAGAACTAGAAAGAGAAACAAAGGGGAAAACCAAAAATAAAAAGAGAACGTTTACATACTTCATGTTCGCCGCCTTGCCGGCTAAATAAAGCACAGCTCGCTCCTGAAAACTTCGGGCACGGCTGTAATGGCTCTTGCCTTCGAAGGTGGCTGTTCTTCATGGCGAGAACAGCCAGGAAGGGAGAAATTTTTACTCAGCAATGTCGATTTCCAGCCCTGCCTGTCAGTCCAAGCCCGACTGCAGTGGGTGATGTGTGCTGCTGTTGTCTCAAAGGCTACCGAGTCGCAGAGATGGCGTTAACAGCTCCTGGCAACCTGTCACGATATGTAGGGAGAGGGCCGACCGGCGTACAGCACAGCGACTGACAGCATTGCATTGCTTCAACTGTCTACCCCTCTATGGCGCTGATCCGGCTGTTTCTTGATGCTTGACGTCACGAACCTCGCACCCTGTACAGAAAGACTTATGCCGCTGCTGGCTTTAGATGTTGCATACCTAAGCAAACAACATCAAGAGATATGTGATTGATCCTATACGTACGCACCGACAACATTTGCAATCAAGATGAAAATGTACGAATTGGGAGTCATGTTTGAATTCCGAGCTTGAGAGGTGATTTTATTTGATATAGCGAGTACCCTGTTGTTGACCGCAAGGGTAGTTGAAGGGTCGCTGCAGTCGAATGAGCTAACCGACTAACTTCAGCGCGCAGCCATCACCACCGCTTGCACCCACGCTGTCACGTCTCTGCACTGGCTCTATCACGCGAGTGACAGGTTCCCAGGCGGCACCACGGGGAGGTTGCAGAGTCCGAATTTCGCCACCCGCATGACCATGCCTGGCAACGCTGGGATTGTTTGACCAACGGGAAACAAAGGAAAGCATACCATGCCTGGCATCATTGAGAATATTCATCCAACGGAAAACAAAGGAAAGCATACCATGCCTGGCATCATTGGGAATGTTCATCCAACGGAGGTGCATGACCATGCCTGGCAACGCTGGGATTGTTTGACCAACGGGAAACAAAGGAAAGCATACCATGCCTGGCATCATTGGGAATGTTCATCCAACGGAGGTGCATACCATGCCTGGCATCATTGGGAATGCTCATCCAACGGAAAAACAAAGGAAAGCATAACCACGCCTGGCATCATTGGGAAGACCCAACGGCATCGCCATATGGCAACGTCAAGACAGTGTCAACGGCACTCGGCGAAAGATTCGCCATATGGCACGTCAAGACACCATCAACGGCAACTCAGCGATGGGGGTGGGAGGCCCAGCCCACCAAGAAAATTCCTCATTCCAACCGGGAAAAGAACGCCCTACTTATACTTCCGTCCATCTCCTCCTTCTCCTCCCGAGGCCTGCGAAATCAAGGAGGCAGGGCCGCCCCTTGTTCGATGACGTCGCAAACCCGCTCTTGGCCGTTGAGAAAACAAACGGTCTCGCATCTGGCCCAATCCCAGAATGGGTGCTGTGGTGGGGCGGGAAGGAAAACACCACACTTGCGGGGTCCGAGTGAGCAAACATCCACACTTTGCTCTCGACGGGCGGCGTCATAGACTAGGGCTAGAACAGCTAGAACAGGCGTGGAATTGCCGACCGGGGTACTGGGTCCAGACCGCGCGACCAGAGGCAAAAAGGCTTGGTGGCGAATGCGGGAGTCGAAATTGGCTCTGGTCCTGCGTGGGGACTGATCTTGGGCGCGGGCATATCTGGCGGGAGCATCTAGGCGAGGGTACATGGTTTGAATGCGACTGGCTACCCCACCTGTTCAAGCGGGGCCCCCACAGTCGCGTTCGGGAGCTTCTGCACCTGCGGACCTGGCGGACGTGTCTTGAGCGCAGTCAATGGCGATACACTGTTTGTGACTCCAATACAATTGCTGCTCTTGAGACCTGTTAATGCTATGTAACCAATTTGACATGTACATATGACCAGTATGTATGTACTGTACAGTAGAACGATTCCAGATTCATTCATGACCTCCGGCAATTCCTGCCGAGTTTATGGCAAGCAAGGGACGATTGTCTGCAATTGCCAGGATTACTTTACAGTATTGTGCATATGTAACTTCCTCTCTCGCAAACATTGTCAATGTTTGAGAAGCTGAAAGATGTTGTGATGGACCCCTGTAAACCTCCGGTAATGGCTGTGGCGACTTGTTTGCAAGCCAAATGTGGGGTCGGGATGGTCAGCAGCAGTGCGAGTAACAGCCCGTAATCAAGAGCTACTTGAAAGTATCCATAACCGGCTTCAACAGCTGCCATTCTCCCACTGTCAATCATGATGGCATGTACACAGTGAGACTGACTTTCGGCCCAGCCTGTGTGGGTCAAGTTCAGAAAGATTAAGTGTGTTGCCAAGAGGAAGCAACATATGATCAATACTGTAACAGTACCAAAAGTTCCAGCTGTATGTACTGTAAGTGCAATTGAAACCCAGTAGATAGCTATTCCAAGACTCTCGTTTGCGGACAACACCTTTTATCCTCTAGAAGGTCTTGACCTTCTTCCATACGCCTCACCTTACCGCACGCAAAGTCATCCTTCACCACCGGATGGATCAAGGATCCATCGAGGAGCGACCCGGCTCGCACCAGCTCCGACATACGATTGTTCCGGTCGGGAGCATGCATCGTGCGGCCTGCCTGGACTTCAAGAAGTACTTTCTCGAACGCTGGCCTTTTCGAAACGAGAGAGCCCGGCTGTATTTCGCTGCCGAAGAACTCCCGACTTGGTGGTGCTGCCAGTACCCCTCATGCTCGCCAGGCCGCGTCACAGCTGCCTGTCACTGCCTCGAGATGTTCTTCCTTGTCAACGGTAGGGAACGAACGGAGCCTGATCTTTTCTAGTTATGATTGAGCTGGCTAATACGCTACTTATATCACAGACTTATTAGGGCACATGACTTCGGAGGAAAACTCATCCTACATCGAAAAACTGTCGTCCATCATCACGTGTGAGGTAGCACCGACCGAGGGAGAGGCAATCGAGAAGGTCGTCTATGATGTCTGGAAACGCATGGCAGTCATTGATGATATCCTGGCACGAGAAGTGATAGAGCTCATGCAAAACTTTTGGCGTTTACACACCAACAACAAATCATTGGAAGAAAGAAGAATTGCCGGCCTACTAGAATGCCAAGATAAGGCTGATGCTTCTCGGTGAGTAGAGTACCCGAACTAATCCCCCAATGCTCGACGCGGCTAAGGAGATCATCTCAGAATAGTTATGGCGCTGGACCGTCTTGTAAAGGGCGTTCATCTCAGTCAAGAAGAAGCTCATTCAGTCGCTGGCATTGAGTTTCTTTTTGCACGCCAGGCGGCTGCTTTGGTCGATCTTGCAAGCTGGGAAGAAGATCGCCACACTGAGAGAGACATCGATGCGCCAGCATTCATTCCCCGTAACCTCGTTCAAGTGCTGTCCGATGAGCTTGACGTATCTTCAAGGTGTGCGGAGAATGTGCTCTCAGAAATATGTCAGGGATGGGTTGAAAAGATGGACCACCTGGTCGTTGAGCGGATTGAAGAAGGCTGTTCAGACTCGCTTCGAGAGTACTTGAATTTCTTCACAACGCCAACGTGTGAAAGCAAGCCTTAGGACTTCTACTAATCAGTCGCAATCAACACCGAAAGTGCAGCCTCCCTCAAATACTTCCTGATATGGGGATCGTGCCCGCGGGCCTTACATGCAGCCTAGAGACCTCATGCATATGAATTATCATTTTCCACTCTATCTTCATCAATAATTCTTGAATCACTGAAAATGGATTGATGCTCCTTGTTCCGTACTGTGCATAGTAGAGTAGGTAGACACGATCAACGGCATTCAGAAGATCAGTGGCCTGCGTCTGAATCCAGACGTATGTGGAGAGGAAAAAGCAGTGACAATGGACCTAATTCTTTGGCTTTATCCTGAAGGTCTTCACTTCAGTGGTATGTATGGTTTGTGGCTGTTCCGGTTAATAGAGCTAGACAGAGATATACCCCTAATCACCGTCCGCTCACGATGGCTACATATCCTTAGGATGAGATCACTGAAAAACGGCGATATCGCCTCCAAATTGCGGCAAAATCATCTCTAGTCCAGCACAGAACTAACGTCCAAATCCCGGATCTGTCTAAACATTACATACATTTCTGGGCCGGTTATATTCAGGTCCCATGCGATATCATCCAAAAAACGTATCTCCGCGTTGTTAATGTCGTCGTCTGTGAAATAAAACAAGCCTATGTCTTCTGCCAGACCGCTCCAGAATCTCGTTTCGTATGTGTCGTCTTCGAGATATTTTCGAGCTAGAATGATTGCCACCAAGACGTGCATGCGTCCACTCATTTCTGTCATGACAGATTCAGACCGACGAAACGCCCGTCTCAAGTACATTAGAGCAGCACAGAACACCGCTCCGCTTATGTCGCTCCATAGCAGCAAATGACGGAGGAAGGATCTTAACCCTAAGGAAAATTGAGATCTGTGGGTATTGATGGGAAGTATTTCTGCAAGAATGCGCTTTACCACGCCATTGATAAGTCGTAGAGACAGAGGACGTCGGCAGAACAAATCGAATTCATGGGCGTCTGCTGGGTTGTCCGTGACCTGGGCGGAGATAGCTGATTGGTGGTGGTCGATGACACTGAGAACAGCTAACGGCTGGTCGAATCGCCAGGATACGACTGAGGAGTGATACATTTGTACTTTCCAGCAAGGCTCGTCGGAGTCTTGGAACCGAATCACAAAGATCTCTGGTGCCGACCAATTGGGCGACTGATGCTACTTGAAGTTAGGCGTTAAGCTGAAAGCAGCTCCAGAGTACTTAAACGAACCAAGACCAGACAAGAAAGAGGCAGCGGCAATGATGGAACCTCGTCGCACATCCAACGTTTATTCCGACACTTTCGAGCTTGATGACCTATTGCAGCGGCTGACGAAGCAGGCCGACGAACAATACGATACGGCCATCGCCCTCTTGCTACAAGAGAACGTGGCGCTCCAGCGCGAGCTCAGGGCAATGCGGCGGTTTCAGAAAGTTATGGACAGCCTCGTACGAGACCTTGCTGAGTTGACGGATCAGCTGGCAGAGCTACTCAGGACAACAAGATCGCGCTTAGCGAAGGGCAGAGCAAGCTATCTGGCGAATTGCACAGCATTCTAGGCTGCAAAGTAAGTCCTTCAGCGGTCTGATCCGCACACGCCCAGCGATGGTATACAACCTGCAAAAGTTGATGATCAACCATTGTGAACAGAAGTGCGCTATTACTGTAGACGAAGCCAGAAGTACTCGGTTATTGGACGGATACTGTTGGAACAGGGTGAGGCCGTTTTGGGCTGATGGAGTCTTGAAGTGCTTCGTTCGCCCATCCGAGCCATATCTAACCCACGTTGTTCTGTTCGTAGGTCTACATACAGTACTACTGTATTGTTCTTTTTTGTTCTCCCCCTCCTCTCAGGATATTACGCCTCGTACAGCATCTGGTGACTATGAAAGACGACAAAACTCTTCCTCCCAGATACGACGACGATGAGGAGGTCAAAATGTATGCGGTGTCCAGATATGACCAGATGGTGCTTCAAAACGATAAAGAGATAGACTGGTGGTGGTCTCTCCTGGCAAAAGTTTTCTCATGGTTATTGTTGGCCGGGTACATCGTCTTCCCATCCACGTTCGCGTCTTTGAGGCGGTCGCAAGTTCTTGAAAGCATGGGCAAGGTCGGACAGACGGTCTCATACTGGGTCAACGACTGTCTGATCGCTCTCGCATCTGTACTCTCGGGTGTGGCATCCATCGGCCTGGCGTGGCTGTGGTTCAAATGGCGCAGGAACTATGTCTGGGTGCATCTGCATATCATCGTGTAAGATTCTCAAGTCGATCGAGAGCCTGGCGAGTCGTCACTAAAGAAAACAGTTCTACGCTGGTAAATTCGTTGATCGGATTTCTGTCTACTATCTTAAATATATATACAGTTCACGGAGGACAGTGGTCAGCGACATCGATAGCTACCACCACAGTGACGAGCTGGTGGCTGGTCGTCTCGTGCGTCCTGTGCGGGGTGTATCAGTATCTATTAGATGGACTACGTCGCAAGGCGGCATAAAGTCCACGGGAAACTGTCGTGGTGCGCTTGTCTCTTTCTAGCTTTGCAAGTTATTCAAGCACACGGCTCATCTTTTCTTTTGCGGTTTCTGATAGAACGATCTTGATTCCCATGCTAGTTACTTCATATCTCGTGATTGATGATGCGTTTACGTGGGACAACGCAGGATGGTCGTTGACAGTTCCTGTTCTCCTGTGTCAGTCCGGCCATTGACTCAAGGTTGACTCCAGCTATGAAAGCCGCCCTCATCTGCAGAATGTAAACCGCAACCACTGCACCACTGCCCCCTTCGTATCAGCGCCTGAAGCATGTGGTATTCGCCATAGAGACGAGAGCAGCAAATGACTGGATTGTTCGTTCATGTAGACGACACAATGGATTCCGCAGCTGGAATTGGCTTGCGGGGCTGATCTGAGCAACTGGTCGTGTCAGACGGTGACGTCTCGTTGCCAGTCTCAGAACTGGTCTTGGCGGTAAGCCTTGCTTAAGGCCAGAAACCGCTTTCAACAACGATACTTATACACCGCCAAAGAATTTCGAACTGCCACAAGTGCAGTGGTACACATCGAGGCAGACGCCATGAAGCCTAACAGAAAGACCCAAATCGCCATTTTTCCAACTTCATTCGGCCACCAGAATGCTGCCGCGTTGACTAACCATAATGTTGGCCCTGCAGCTGTTGCAGCCGTGAGCAAGGACAAGTTATACCATGCGCCTCATGTCAAGAGCAACGAGGAGCGCGTCTCAGTTGCGGACTCCGCAAAAGACCATCTTTCCCCGCAAAACGACGATACCTCCGACCGCCCCTTGGATGTCGAAAAGGGCTTACCGTGGAAAGACTACCATGCGGAATATAAGCTACATGATCTCGGGGGTATTCTGACGGTAGCGGTGAGACATCGAAAGCTTTTCCACATCAGTGAACTGGCTCGGCTAGAGTCGCAGGAAGTTCTCGCGAAGTTGAGAAGGCTCCGCCATCCAAATGTTCTCGAGTTCATCCACGCGTACAAGACACACACCTCTTTACACGCCGTATTCGAGTCCACGGCGATCAACTTCTTGCATTTGGTAAAATGCCCAGTATATCTTGACGAGGCACAACTCGGTGCCGTGGTTGGCCAGGTAAGCAACGGGTTCAGGCCACTGAAAACGAAAACTGACATATGTGCGGAAATAGTTAGTAGATGGCCTTGGCTATCTAGAAGGGGAAGGCTTCGAACATCCTTCGCTTGACAGCAAGAATGTCTTGGTAACTGATGCGGGGGTGGTGAAGATCGGCAAGTGACATTCTTCTGGTCTGCGCAGTCCAACCTTGACAGTTCGGGATCTGACGTAGGTATCGAATCAAACAGCCAATCAACAACTTTGTCAACCGCTTAGAGGTCACAGCCGCCATCATGTCAAGACCCTCGGCAGCTTCGTCCAGCTTCTCATGCAAAAGTACTGCAAGGAGATGCCAGGCATCGACGATCTCAACCGCTGGCCTCCCGACTCGGCCGGGTTCACGTTTCTGGCTGCGATCGATTCTGCGTCGTCAGTTTTTGACTTACAAAATGTCCGTATCAGCAACTGTCTTCATTGTTTGCGCCACGAAGAGCTCTGCAGCTAACAGAAGTCTACACAGCACCCACTTATCAGGCATCGTGATACCGAATGTCTTGTGGGTCTAGTGAGCTTGGCACGTGTGGCGGTCTTTCCAAGAGAATACGTCTGCGGAGCCGATGTGAAAGGGGTGCCGAATTGAGCTTCCGTCAGCACTTTTCTGCTTTGAATGCAATAGACAGCTGTTGCTGCAAGTCCATGTACAGTATCTTACATGGGCTTTCACTCTTTAGTTACTGTAATACAGTACAAACTTCGCTCCTTCACCCTTACAATCGCACCCATTCATGCATCACGCCCATGATCGTTTCTGATTCTCAGTTCTCTCAGTCTCAAGTGCTTCATGGACTGGGTAACCACTTTATATGCAATCTGCCTTGCCGGCATGATTGTTGGTCTCGCTTTGATGAACGTCCTGTCTCGCGCGGGGAGAGCTCGGAAAATACTCGCCCACCTGCTAGAGAAGCATCTGGCATACCGTCTTCTCGTCCATCGTCATTCTTTGTTCGGTCCCTGGAATGCTGTCTCATTGCTCGTTCCGACCGTTTATCTGGGCATAAACATATTCTTCCTAACGTTCCGACCGTCAACGCTTCTCGCTCGCTCGGGGAACCTGACTCTCGTCAACGTGCTTTCCCTGTTTGCTGGACCCTGCTTAGACTTTACGGCTGATATACTGGCCATACCCTTTCGACACTACGCGGTCATACACAGGTGGCAGGGCCGCGGAGCAACGATGCTTCTCGCAGCCCACGTCGTTATCGCCATGCAGAATGACAGTTCCCAGCTTCAAACTTCTGGAGACGTCAAAGAGCTTCTCATACTTACGGTTGCTGATCTTTCTCCACTGTGAAACCGTATTTCACTGACGTCTTCCTCATAGGGCTCCATGGCTATGGTAGTAACGACAACGGTGTCTTTTCTCCCTTTTTTCCGGCGCCGCTTCTACGAGCTATGTCTGAGAGTCCATCAGGCACTCGCCTGTCTGGCAGCAGTTGGGGTTGGGTTCCATGTGCGATCGATCGCCGGCCGTTCTTGGCTGTGGATGTACACCTATCTTGGTGTGGCAACACTGGCAACCGTGTCACAGGTGGGCTTGATGGCCTTTCGCAACAAGACGATGGGACGAACATTTGGCAGAGCCTATATAGATCATGTCACCGGGACTGTCCGCGTCTCTATACAACTTTCTCGACCATTGAAGTTTGAGGCGGGCCAGTATCTGTTGCTGTGGATGCCGAGAGTCCGACTGCTCGAGACCCATCCTTTCGTCGTGACCTCGTGGGCTGAGGCGGAACAGGGCATCGTTGATCTGTTCATCAAACCCCGACGAGGATTCACTTCCAGTCTAGTGCGATACTCTAACGAGCATATTGTGCCACGCCTGGCCTTGTTATCTGGGCCACATGGCGTCAGCGTCCCAGTTTGGGACTACGAGGCAGTACTCATGGTAGCCACAGACCACGGCATCGCTGCCCAGGCACCGTACTTGAAGAAACTGGTGTACGGCTACAACCACTGCAGAGGGCGCACGCGGCAGATTCATCTTGTTTGGCAGGTGACCAACCTGGGTAAGTCGGAGAAGATGCTAGTTTGAGTCCGGTTCGGATTGGCGTTCGCAAGCTGACTACACCAGGCATTGTGCACGCGGCCGAGTCGATCCTAAATCCTATACTGAACGACGACACGCTGGACGATGGCTACGTATGAGCATCTCAATACTTACCTGACTGTTGGCTGATGTGATTGCCTGTTTTGAGAACAGATCCTGGAGATTTCTATCTATTTCGATATGCAGGCGCAGGGAATGTCTGTCGGAGATCTCCAGACTCTCGTGCCAGGTTGTGTCAAAGACAAGCAGATAACTACGAGTGCCGCGACACATATTCTTAGCACGTCTGACGTTGAGCGGCTGGTAACCAAGTATCTTCATCATGACACCGGCCGGTCGCACGGTGAACCCACTAGGGTGAAGGACTTCGGCGCGAGAGCGCGGCTTTACGTCGGAAGTCCCGACCTAACAGCGAGCTTATGGAAGGAAGCATCCCACCTTTTCGGCCGAACATCGCCAGAAGCAACCGGGAAGATGGGAGACATGTTGTTGCTCGGTAAGAACTATGTTTCCGCGGACGAACGTTCTCTTACTATTGGTATAGTATCTGCCGCAAATGCCACGCGTGACGCCCTCTCGGATCTTGCGGGAGGCTATCTGATGGATGAAAACCACCCTCTATACGCCGACTACCAGAAAAGGGAAGACATCCGCGAGTACCTCCATAGCAACCTGTGGCTGCGAGAGCTTGACTATCAGCCGCTCGACTGATGCATTTATTTGAGGTTTTCACATCACAATACTTATTGGCTGCAAGAGTTGAAAAGAATGGAAGGTGTCTAGTTGTCTCAATAAATGTATCCATATTAGCAAGCACATAGCCATCCGTGACGTTCCCTCTCGGACCTGACGACATCAACCCGTGCGCACGGGCCACAAGACTACATCAAGACTTGTGGCCCGTGCCAGCCTGTGTCTGGATCTGCCGTGAAAATCACGCAGAGCTTGCCCACCGCGCCCCAAAATCTGCCATCGGGCCTCGCGATCCAAGGCCACCACGTAGCCCACACCGCTGCCGAAGCCAACCAAATTCACGAAGAATTGAAAGATTACTGTGGTAAGAAGACCATCCAACTCGAAAATGGCTGATGTCCATGAAGAGACAGAATAGCCTCCGACCCATCCGGCTCTGAGCCCAGGACACGATAGGCGGTCATGGCGATAGACGACAGCATGTTCACCTACGCGTATGATGTGAGCGAGCGAGCGAGCGACCGACCGACCGATTTCGAGGGCGTAATGCCCCACGATCAAATATACAACCGAGCATCATATGGCAAGCCTGTGATAAGTTCGTGAACGGAGTGTAAGCAGACGCGCTCGTGTGGCTGCCACTCTGTGTTTCCGATCCGCCAGGCATAATCGGCCACGAACCGAAGACGGAACGTGGTGATGCCAGTCCTGATGTGGGGTTCGTGCTTGACTTTCCAGTGGAGTTTAGCATCGCGATTGTGACCTATGGGCCGTGAGCGAACTACTCCTCAGTCCATGCTGAACCAGGGTCGTGGTGCGAACGTTTGCACTGATGCATCAGTCGCGCTCCTGGCTTGGCTCGTATCGGGGCCGGCTAAAGGCGGGGAATCGGCCGCTGGTTTCTGTCCGGTCTTACGGGCCATCGCCAGTTTGGTGATACTTACGGTTGAGATCTGCGGGGACAATGCGAGAGCTCGAGAGGACACCACCATCGCTGAAGGGCAGCCGCAGCCGACCGAGTGGCTTCTCAGCAATCTCACAAAGCAGCCGATGACGATTCTACGCACCTTTTGCTGTCAACAGCAGGACTGGCTTCAGCCGCCTACGGCAGGATGCTCGACGCTTGAGTGACAATCTGGAAATGGCCGGCTACAGTACTGTGAACCGCTATCTTGGACTTTCTGCAAGCCAGGAAGCGCTTTCTGGCTAGGGTAAATAGATGCTCCATTGTTGGATCTGTCGCGCCGGTCAAAGGCCTGTTTGAGATTGTTGTGTGTTCTTGGACGGGACACTCCCGCCTGCAACGTGGCATTACAGTGCATGCTGTACCCCACCTCGTGGCGACTGTGGGCCCGTCCCTCCCACGCCGTGGTCTGGAGGCCAGATCCGGCGTAGCTTGCTGTCTCAGGAAAAGACGACATGGCGAGACACAACGACGGACCAATACTATACGTACTATGGAGCAAAGAGGCTGCATTTTCTGCTTCTCTTCGCTGGTATTCTAAGTTCCCATCGCGTTGGCTGGTTATGCATACGGAGCGCTGGACTAGGCCTCAGCCGGAATACAGAAAGCAGGTGGTCTTGCTCACAGTATGTACAGTATTGATCATATGTTGCTTCCTCTTGGCAACACACTTCATCTTTCTAAGCTTGACCCACGCAGGCTGGGCCGAAAGTCAATCTCACTGTGTACACACCACCATGATTGACAGTGGGAGAATGGCAGCTGTTGAAGCCGGTTATGGATACTTTCAAGTAGCTCTTGATTACGTGCTGTTACTCGCACTGTCGCTGACCACCCCGACCCCACATTTTGCTTGCACACAAGTCGCCACAGCCATTACCAGAGGTTTACAGGGGTCCATCACAGCAACTTTCAGCTTCTCAAACATTGTTGATGTTTGCAAAAGAGGAAGTGACATGTGCACAATACTGTACAGTATCATCATGAACTAGGCATTGCAGATGCCCTAAGCTTGCAAGAAGCCCTTCCAAAGGCCCCATTTTGGGCTTACACTGTTGGTAATACATATGATGGTCTTGTGCAGTGTTCAGATCAGTCAACTGCACTGCTATGCACATACATGAACAGCACCGTGGGCTCGCCTCTGAACGTAGGACGTAGCCAAGATCGCTCATCACTACCCCGTTCCCGGCTTTGAGGCTACGCCGCATATCAGAAGGATCCCTCAAACTCAAGCCAACAATCGTCGCTCGTACTGTACAGTAGAACAATGTCGTCAGTTGATGGTACTTTGGTCGTAGGCAGACCACGGGGGCAGGCGGAAAATCTCCTTCGACGAGCGCTGAAGAATGCTCACAAACGCGCCCAAGAAGACTCGCGCGTACCTCTACTGAGAGAGCCTCCCAGCTGCCCAGAAGCTTGCGATCAAGTCGGGCTTGAACCGAGAAAGCAAGAGGTGTCAATTACCAGCAACAATGGAGCCTTCAGCACTCTTTCGGGTCCAGTTTCCGGTAATGGGGTTTTCTGGCCGTAATGCGTTCTTCGTTGTATACGGCGGTAGCGTTAAGGGTGGGTGTGGTCATTCCGTTCGCTGAGGGATAGATTGAAGGGACGATGAACTTTGTCACACATGGACAAGCGCACACACTTGTAGGCGGAACGGTCGACAAGATGGTGCCGCTACGTCAAGTGTATGTACTATTTGTTTCGATGTAACCTATGGTTTTTACTACAGTACATGGAGACACATTGGTCCGGCAAGAGATTATAGATCGGTCCTGCACCATGCTTGTGTGCGGCTTACGCGTATGAAGTCCTTGAATAACATGTTCCTCGGCAAACCTGACGATGAAGCAACCTATTTATGGAATCTTCTACTCGCAGTCGAAAAGAGCCTCCTCCGATCGAATCCTAGTAACAGGATCGTCCCAGTCCACCTTTTCTGAAGCCAAGACAACCAGCCTGTCTAGTCGTTTCTGTGCGTCGTCCAGGATCTGCAGCTGATGTTCGAGTCTCTGGATGCGCGAACTGATGCGATCGATGACAGACTGAAGCCCGGTTGCTGTCGTCTCGCACGAGCGCGTGAAGGGAACCTTGCTTTCACCGCCCCCATTTCTCATGGCTGAGCCTGCGGTCTCACAGTTGATGATAGCCGCAAGCTTGTCTCTCGACCTACTTTCCGAGCGCAATTTTTGGGCTGAGATCCCGAGGCGAGCCAACGTTTCCTCTAGAGCCTGCTGACTCACCACCGTCGGAGGATCGTTCGTTAGGTGCGACGGCTGAGTGCCGGTGTCGAGACAGACGAGCTGCTTCAGCTCTTGAAGGGTCCTATCTGTCAGCCCGCCCAGTCCTGAAGTAAAGACAATCGTGATGTTGAGCGACACAACGCCATGAACGCTCATGTTGATAGTGCAATGAAGTCTCCGCGAAAGAATCGACGGAAACGAGAGTCGTTGGAGAGTTTATGGTGCAATGGTGTATAAATTACTGCTGTGAGGGAAAAAGAGCACACGTGTTGTACTTTTGACAGGACTCCATACTCTTGACAGAACTCTTGACAAAATGATTAGGAACGGAAGCGCAACCTTAGTATGTATGTACTGCTCCTCGTAATCGATTCATCCGAGACAGAATTGCAACAGCCAGAATCATACTTCTGGCTATTTCAGCTCTTTCAGTGATCACTGACAAAGCTCTATCTTTCTCCTACTATTTGCATGCATGTGAAGAGCTGAAAAGTACCTGACGTACGGCAACAGAGACTCATCTCTGCCTTCCCACTAACTGAAGCACACCAACTTGCCATTGCCTTCTCTATGCCACTGTATACACAAGTGCAAGCAGACTCATAACCAAACTTGCCGTCAAATTCGCAATGGATGCCCCAAAAACATCTCCTTTGCTCGCCTCAGCCTCAAGCAGGTCTGCCACAGCCTGAGACGTTTTGTACAGTGGGACAGCAAAGGCCGTCACTACCGTAAAGAGGACGACTACAACAACATCCAACCCTAGCGACACGAAACGGAGAAGCCTAAACTTGAGACCGGCAAGTAGTAGAATGGTCGAGACCAACGTCAAGCCGAGCCCGGCGGATAGAACAGTCTCGAGGTTCGGGCACCTGTCCACCAGTTCCTGCAACTTTTCAATCTCCTGGGGCGAAGGGAGGAATGACGCAAGGTCTTGAACCAGACGAAACGCAGATCCAGGAATTGCGGCGCATTCAGAAGCAACGCATGCGTACTTGGTGCCCACTGAGACGCTAGACGGCAGACTGGCGACCACCAAAGACTCGCCCGATGCAACTGCGGCAGTGACAACGCTGGATGCCGCACTTTTCACCGCTGTGGCGATGGACCCGACCACATCAGGGACTGGGACGAAGCGCCGCACTTGTTCGTGTAACTTCGCTGTCATCAGTCACGCTTTATTATCGCCACGAACTACATACCAAAATCTCCACTATGCCCTTTTTTTCATTGTCCTCATCCTGCAGAATCCTGACGGTTATTGCGAGTATGGCTAGCGTCAAGACGACGTGTAGTGCTATGACGATCTTGGAAAACATAGTACAATGCGGAGGATGGTGCAGACGCGATTGTGATCAAGAGCCTAGTAGCAGGTCTGGAAGAGAAAACACGCGCATTAATAGTGTGACTCTTCAGCTCCGGCAAAGAGCTGCGTTCAAGAAGCATTTGAGATCGGCTTTGGGACCGAATCCGAGACAACTGTTCATTGCAGACGCTTATGGACCAATTTTTGGGCATGTGTCAAAACTTCAGACCCCTGTTGTGTGGCTTCTGGCAAACGCTCCAGAAAGCAGCAACGAGCTTTCCGGCATGATCATCTCTCATTATCTAGGACGCCTCGACGAGCGGCTTGCTGCTTTAGCGGCGAAAGAGTGTCATTTCTAGGCAAGCTTCACCGTGACAACAAGTGCAGCCCAAACAGAGATGAATATGCAAATTTGAAATCAAGACCAGGTTGTTGTAACCTATAGTCTCTTCTAGAGTTCAAGGTAAACCTTTTTGCAGCTGTGTTTGTCTCTAGTCACTGATAGGCAACCGTGTAACTAGCACGGAGACGATGATCCGGCGTTGCATCATGTTTTGTTTTGCATCGTCCTCTCTTTCGAGTCTAGGTCTTGGCTATCACTTGATTTTTGTGCATCTTGTACGGTATTATGTACAGACTGAAGAGCTAATGATTGCTTAATTGCAGCTATGCAACGAGCGGTTCAACTACTGTGCATCTCAAGGGTGCGCTCCACCGGACGCTCGCTGTGACGGACTTGCCACTTGTTTCCTTTGCTACTGTAGTCATCGTGCCAGTTTCGATATTATGCTCGCTTCGCAAACACCTTCAACTTGCACTAGCGGGGTCCCCATCTTGAGATTGGTATGACTGGGCGTGGGCTAAGGCTCGTGTAAGCAGCGAACTCCGGCTCTGACAGGTCTTGATTCGCCTTCAGGTGATAGTCGTCGATCATCAATCGGCCGCTCGGGAGGCTATATTGAACCAAAGCAGTGCACAGCTCTTTGGTGGTGTCTAAATATCGCGATAGAGCGTCGCTGCCATCATCAAGTCGCTCATGGATTCGTTGCAGCTGCTTTTGCTGTTCTCTTCTGCTCATTTGCTCTAAGCGGGGTCTCTCTGGCAGCACACATAGAAGTGCGTATTGGCCTAGCCCCCAGTCACGGCGCAGCTGGCATAGGTCGTACCAGATCTGGAATTCTGACTGTAGACGCCTCATCTCTCTTACCTCGGCCATGGTGATGCTGGTCTTCAGACATAGAGCAATCTCCTGGTGGCTGCTGAGACGGGCCATCTTCTTGTGAAACAGCACACCGCTGTAACGCCGGTAGAACTCGCTTTTGGAGCCGCTCCTGATAGCGGACCATATCACTGCGAGTTCGGAGCTTTCCGACAGACGAGAGTTCCGGTAGAAGGCCACAGCCTCGCTTAGCGCATCGAGAACGATTCTGCACTCTCGAGGCATGCTCGGCGGCAATCCGTATTTGCCCATGTCGAGTACTCGGCCACTACGCAGTGAGGTTAACTTCTGAGCCGATGCACTGTCATTCACACCAGAACCTCGTCCTGTTGAGTGAGAGATTTCTCTGGCTGGTGGAGACGACCGGGATGACTCAGGAGAGAAACCTGAGGCAAAATCGTCACCATCTTGCATGTCTGCTGTGAAGGTCGAGCGGACTGGCGAAAGAGAATCCTCTTCGTCTATGAAGGCTTCATCGAAAAAGACGGAGTTCTCCACTTGCGCTTCCTTAAGCCGGTTGGAGACATCGGAATCCTTCGCATCCAGGCTGTTTGTCAAGAGCTCGATGAATATTCGCGCTCGCGACTTTTGCAGGAATGCGGTCTCGGCAGATAGTATCGGCACACCTCCGCCAGCCAGTATTCTCAAGCTCAACAGCGTTAGTATCACAGTGTCCTCCGGCTGCGTCGTGGCGAGTGGCTCAGAGATACGAACAGTCGGTCTATGAAACGAGGCTTGAAACTGTTGCTCCAGTTTCATAATGTTTTCGACCTGCGCTCCGTACAGCTGTACGCAGTCTGCGTAGGCAACAGCCACAAACCACCACCCATCAAGATTGCATGGGATGAGTGTAGCCGCGCCCGAAGTATCGCAGAGTCTAGCAGCTGCCTCCAAGTCGCCTGATGCGACGGTTACTGGGCCCAAAAGTTGGGAATCTGGGTAAGATGATCGCAATAGCTGAACGTAGCTGGTGACTATGCCATTGTCGACGAGGTCGCCTCTGGCCAGATGCCACAACGAGCTCGACACACCTTGTTCTGCGGTATTCATAGAAATAGCTACGGTATTCATGTAATCAACCCAGTCGCCGGTGACCTGTAGCGGCATTTCGGTTTGCTTGAAGGCTTCTCGTGGCGGATACTCCGAGACTAGCTGCCTCAAGTCTTGGCTAAACGCGAGCGGATAGCGCTTCCGAATGACCTGCAAGGCGCATTGGAACATATCCATTGTCGTGGAGGTGAAGGGGAACGTAGTAAGACGACGGAAGACTTCGTAATCGTCCATATCAGCAGAGATGTGACGAGGTTTCGGACCTTTTTTTTTGTTTTTTTTTGGTAACTTGTCGAGCCTTAAGTATTTCCCTTGATAGAACTGTGTCCAGAATTCAACGCCAAGGACTCGGGCTTGAAGCATTCAGAACTCTCCAGGTATGGCTGCTCGCCCAGCTTGAACTGCGTGTCGGCATACGATAAAAGCAGAACCCATTTTCGGCTGCTTAACCAAGCGGCGCTTATTTGCCCGGAGACGGACCCAACATCTGGATACGAAAAGCGCTCTTGCCGCTGGCAATCCATGTAGAAGTGGATACTTTGACATGGCTCTTGGTTGTATAAGAGCTCTGTCTGTCACTTTCCAGCTCAAACGCCTAGGTCGAGTCACTACTCATTCCCCAACACCCTACACACTTCCTACCTACGTCTTGGATGGACCCCGTCGCCGAAATGCATCATCAAGATAATTTCTCTCCTGTACAGCTGGAACTTGACGACGTTAGCCATGTCCCAACCAAATGGAGGCCCTCACGCCGCGAGTTCGCCATCATGACAACAGCTGCCTTGTTGTCCCTTATGGTCGCCCTTGATGCATGTGTTATTGTGACTTCTTTGCAGGTCAGCCATACCTTCAGGGCCGCTTTTGTCACAACTAAGCTAATATTCATAGGCGATCGTTGAGGATCTCAATCTTAGCACGTACGACGGCTTCTGGATAGGCACGGCATACCTTCTGGCGAACGCTGTGATGATGCTGTTCATCGCGGATCTTAGCCATGTATTCGGTCGACGGCCATGCCTGACCATCTCGGTGGCGTTCTTCTCTGTAGGCACCGTTTGCTGCTGCGTTTCCAGGTCCATCGGTTTGATGTTGGTTGGAAGATCTCTTCAGGGTGTAGGGGGGGCTGGAATCATCGTTTTGTGTCTTTTGATTTTCACCGACATCGTCCCGTTGCGGCCCAGGCCTAAGTGGTACGGCCTGGTGTAAGAAGCCATTCTTGAACTCGTTGATTCATCCACTAACACGATCCATCTTCAGTCAGGCGGCATGGGCGCTGGGCAACTGCGCCGGCCCCGTACTGGGGGGTGCTATCGTTCAGAACACAACTTGGCGATGGGTATTTTACATCATGTTTCCCTTCTGCGCGGCCGGGCTGATTCTTGTGCCCTGGCTGGTCAACATCGATCGGCCGGCCGACGCGATGGGCGGAATGCTAGGCAGGATGGATTGGCTTGGCAACACCCTATTCATAGGCTCGGCAACGTTGTTCCTCGTGGCCGTCTCATGGGGCGGTCTGCGCTACAGTTGGAGCAGCGCCGGCACCCTCGTACCCTTATCGCTCGGGGCGGTCGGTATAGCGCTGACCTTGGTCTACGAACAGCGTCTCGCAACATCTCCGTTTTTGCGGCGTCGACTCTTTCAAAATACTAGCTCTACCGTAACTTATATCTGCGGCGCTATTCAAGGCCTCGTGGTAAGAGTCAGGTAGCGTCAACTGCGGGACAGGTAATGCTAACAAAGACCCTAGATGTACGGACAGCTTTACTACGTGCCTCTCTATTTCATGGACGTCAAGGGCTTCACTCCGACGCTGACCGGCGTCGCACTCCTTCCCGTCATGTTTACGTTGGTGCCGGCGTCCATCGTCACAGGATGGCTCGTTACAGTGTCCAACAACTACCAGTGGCCAATTTGGAGCGGCTGGACTCTAGCTACTGTCGCCTCTGGTCTGATGCTGATCTGGGATGCCGATACGTCTGCAAAAATATGGGTGCCGACGCTCGTCCTCCTTGGTCTTGGCCACGGCTCCATCTTGAACGCGCAGAACATGGCCTCGCATGCCCTATGCGAGGAAGGCGACGAATCGATCGCCGCGGGCATGTATGCCTCTCTTCGACAGGGTGGCATGGCACTCGGAGTCGGCGTCGGCGGGTCCATCTTCCAGAATGTTATGCAGCTCAAGTTGGAGAGAGATGGGCTGCCATCCGCGGGCACTTATGGGGGTACGCACGCCATTACGAGCATTCTCAGCGCTTCCACGGACGATAGCATGCAGTCTCAAATACTGGATGCGTACGTCTATGGTTTGCGAGGCGTCTATGGGCTGTACGTCGGCGTGTCGGGAGCGGCGCTTTTGATGAGTCTGTTGATCAAAGGCGTTTCATTGGATAAGGAGTCGCGATCTAAACACAGGGTGCATGCGACTGCGGTGGGCCATAATAGCATTGAGCAGATCTAGATGTTGACCGTGCTTCGAATGCAAAGCTGGAACCGACGCCAGCGTTACTATCCACTTGAGATTTGAGTAACTTAGAACTTAGAAGAGTGCATTAATCATGAATTTCGCGCGACTTTAGTGTAAAATCGTTGTAGATACCCATGCAGGAATGTGAAAATGATGCGCCACTCCGGTGCTTGGTCTGTCAGTCTTGGTTCTGGCACTGATCTGCTACACACATTTCTTGCTGGGGTCAAGCTAATATAATATCTACTCAGGGACCCACGACTTCCAACAACAGCAACTCTCTGGCGGAGCGATCGTCTGCATGGAGTCGCGGTCTCTTCCGTTGACCGACACAAAACTAACATGATCGCTCCCATGATATCTGATGGCCGAGACATCGAATTTTATATATTCTGTATTGCTTTCGTGTTATTTTGTTTGTTTCATAAGGATCTGACAGTGTATTGGAAGCTCAGTAAGGAAACCCCTTTCACTATTATTAATACCACGGAGAGCTGGGTAGTTCATCATCACTTGATGGCCTGTGCCGCTGACATGTAATGAAAGTGATGAAAATATAAGACCTTATCAACATGGACGCCAAGCAATTCAAATACCTCAACCGCGTTTCACTCTGTCGATTCAGTTCTATGTGCTAGAAGATCACTTGTGTCCAAAACGTGTGCGGCTCCTTTCCCTGCTCCTATTGAGTCCCTTCAGCGTCACCCATTGAAGTCTTTCAGGTCATCAGCCAACTCAGATGTTTGCCATAATTCGCCGAAGTTTTGGAATTTGATTGCTTCCTGTCGTGGCCTACGACCATACCAAGACTCACTGGTCCTGGCTAATCACGATGTCAAAGCCGGACCAACTGACTTGATGTTGACTAAGCACACTTCCCTTATAGGCGCGACGGCCACAGAACAGATTCCCATTGTCGTTGCCGACCACTTCATCTAGAAAAGGTCAGTTGCGGACGATAGCATAGTAGATTGATCGCCTTACTAAGGTCTATCCCGTGACTAACATGGCGTCCGCTATTTTCATCAAATTCGGTGCTGCATTGGTAATTGGCCCATGATGTCGTTGTGTTGTCAGACACACACGGAGCAGCAGACTTGAAAAAGTACCCCCTAGATATGATCAGTACTCTGCAGCAGTCTACATGAGATGCTCTCACTCGTCTTGCGCCATCAGATAACCATAGTTATTCAGCAAGCAATGGTTCAAATCAAGCACTGACCAGGTCCAGTTGCCTGTTGTGGTCCTGCAATGTGCGGCCATCTTGTTCTTTTCGTTCAAGACAGTACCCCAATCAACACAGGATGACAGAAAGCCGCCTGGTTTGAGAGGAGACTCCCTTTTAGCGAGCTGATCTGCGTGTTCTTCGCCTGACACGCCGCCAGGAATACTGCATAAGACTGCCAAGTAGCCTAGGAATTTTGCGACTGAGAAGGGCATAGTGTACGACTGGTAGAAGTGTTAACGTGTTCTGCTAGCTTCATCAATCATAGTTCCTCTATATATAGCGGGGAATTAGGCTTAGTCTTCACTCCGATCAGGGCCAGAACTTGCTTCATGCCAGTAAACTCCAATCCTAGGTGTTTGGTCCATTCATATCCTGATGTCTCAGCTAATTTCAACTCCCAGATTTGAGATACCTCGAGGCCAGAAACATGAATGGATGGTGATTTCTGCGAAGCCGAATTCTCCTTCCGCTGTGCAGATCAGTGCTCTTGTAAAAAGCCTTCCTGTTCCCGCAAAAACCGTTTAAGTAGCTGTCATTAGGAACTGCGCTCGCCTTACAGTGGTAACGAGATTGGCTTGTCCGCCCATAGCCATTCTCTTGGTATCCAAGTTTATCAATATCTTGACATTTCGGCGACCGACGGCGTCGTCTTCAGCGGCGTAGCTGTACGCAAAGGCCTTCTCACAAAGCAAAAGATCTCCGGCCTTTACAGCCTTGGCCGTGAAGAGCCCGTTTCCGCGTCCTGGCGAGGGTCGCACCTCCACTGGACTGGAGAAGGTCGCGCAGTCGATCAGCGGCGGAGTAGCCCTGGCCTCCTCCTGCATCTGCTTCCATTTATATTCCCCAGTCTGTTGCTCGCGAACCCGACGGGTCGCCTTTTCAATTTCCGTTTTTGCGTCTTAGTTGTTGGGGTTCAGGTCAACCACTTGCTGCAACTTCTCCAAACACAGGTTGAATTGCTCCATTCTGTAGAGCGCCTTGACCTCTCGGAACAAGCCTTTCTCGGTCGGTTCGTTGCCATGTCGGGCTCTGAGAGCGTCGGCCAGCGCCTTTTCGGGGCGTCCAAGTCTCAGGTTGGCCAGTGAGCGATTAAGCAGCGCGGCTTGTTCCTGCGCGACGGTCGTGGCGAATGAGAGCGCATCGGAATACCTGATCAATAGTCAGAAGCTGTTTTTGGTGGACTTGATGCACTTACAAACGCTCAGCTCGTCCCCAATTCTGCTGTTTGACTGCCGCGTTCCCCTGGAGTCGAGTCTCGGAGTTCCCATCAGTCTGGTTGGGGATTCTCCACCTCTTCGGGATCCGCTCATCATTCACTGAAAGTAGAAGATCATCGCTGACATGATCCACCCGCAGGCTGTACTTGCCGTCGGTGGTGACCTTGAAGAATGGTTCCTTGATGATGTGGACGCTGCTCTGAGGGAGCAAGTCGTCGGCCTCGACATCCTCTGGCTGATTGTATAGCTGGAGAAGGACTGCAGTACCTTCCTCGTCTTCCGCGGTAGCCATGACGGCGTTCATCCTGTCGGGCGGTGTCATCGTCCGGATCACGACTTGCTTGCCCCGGTGGTGTTCTCCCAGTTTCATCTTAGAGATTGGGAGAGGCCGGAGGCTGGCTGCAGATCGGATACAAGGTGGATACGGCGGGGGAACTTGCGTGGTGGAGTAAGCAGTTTGGTCGCCACTCCTGGCAAGCGATGCAGATCGTGTCATCATGAACCGGGCGACGAGAATGTTGGAGGGCGGGTGGTCAGTAGGGGTCTCCCCCTTGCGGGAATCGGCTCGCTCCGCAGCCTGGTGAAGCCTTCGGAAAAGCGCGGTGATCTCGTTAACACTGGAAACATCTCTGGTATCCATGACCACAGAAGTGGTGGAATCCTGTGGGGTTTCGTCGTTGACGGATCAGTCTTGAAAAAGGGCCGCGTTGCAAGCTCTGAAGACTTGGGCTGGAGAGATGAAGGTATGGTCCTACCAGAACGGAGAGAGCGCAAGGAGAGAGTAAAAAGTTTGTCTGGGATACTTCTCATATGGGCCCCAAATACTTTGAAAACCCCGCGCCCGGCAGTAGTCTTTTCCCTCGTGTGCGGGGGAGGATACGTCAGTTCTTTTTCTGCTGCAGGAAGCCGACCATGCGCTGTTTGCCTTCGTCAGTGTACACGTCGGTTTGGTCGTAGTAAACACCGACGGTAGTTCCTCTAGTGAAGCTGCACTGAACTGTGGCTGGCGTATCCCAAAAGACGCAGATGCAGCTGCAAATGACTGGGGCCGGCGGCGTACCTGCCGTACCCCCAACCCACACACTGGCGCTAACTAGTGGGATGCGCATATATCACGATCACAGCCAATAACTCTGCCTTGATGCTGCCTCGAATATGCTTCGGGGAGTTGGATCAGATTATTTTCCTAGATCATCCGTTCTCTTCTCGAAGTGGGATGTGGCTGGTAGTGAGTTGTGATTGACGACTCAATGCTCATCGCGGTTGTCAATCGGCGTATCGGCGTGATGAGCGAGGGCCCGTCCTGGTGACGAGGAAGAGAAGAACGTTGGACGAAGTGAGTAAAGTCTCAGTAGAAGGACACGCCTTGCCACCTCTACGTAAAGCCGGGGCTCGGGTCGGGGTTCGGTCGTTGGGTCCGGGGCAAGAGCCGACTTCCGTGGAGCAGGTGGGGTCGTAGCGTCGGAGGGCCGAGACCGCCGATGCGACCAGCTGAGTCAGCAACAATGTTCAGGCATTTAATTGGTCGTAGCCTAGCCAACGCCATAAGATTGCATCGCAAAATAACTCAGCAGCGCTTCAACCCACTCATACTCATTTTGTCCACCGTACTCGTTATCATCACCGGCGCTGAATTGCGGCCTCAATGCCAGATTCGCTGGACTTCTGCACTGCGATTTATGCTTGGTTGGCCACCGTGCAAATTGCCGAAGAACACGACGATCAACCGCCGCTCAGACACCGGCGAAAACGTCGCCGTATCGATCCCAGCAACGAGGCGAGGCTCCCATTATCGCCCCCCTCATCGCACTCACCACGTTCCGCGAATCATTTCATGAATTCCACGCAGGCGAGAACAAAACGAAAGCATGACGACGTCCAACAGGACGACGAGGACAGCAACTACGAGAAAAGCACGAACAACCCCCTACACACCCGCGACATTCAAGCGACACCGCGAGCATCAGAGCTTAACAATCAACAGAGCTTACGGACGGTGACGCCCACTCTTTCATCGGCGGAGAGCGTTTCGTCATCGCAGTCGCGGACGTCCTCACCTACGAAACAGCTCAAGAGACTTGCCCTCGAGGCCGATGGCTTTGTTCATCGCAAGTTCGCGACCAAGCGCCGTGCCGAGTTACCCCCGTCGCTTAACAAACTCGTTGAAGAGCTGAAGAGCATGAAATATGGTGTGAAGATACTGGCGCATCATATGCGTACCGAGGTAAGCACTTGCCTACGGGCGCGCCGTTCCTCATCCCGTCTCTTGCCCCTGGAGATTCTTGCGTAGACTAACTCTTTGCTCCTCAAATGCTAGTACGAAGATTTTGGAATACCAGACGACGCATTCTTTTCCGAGGGCCATCCCATGTCACCTGGCCTGCGATTTCCGCCCCGAGATCTCGTCAATTGGCTGCGAGATCAGGGTGAAGACTGCGAACTGAACTTCCACGGCGAACCGAGCTGGAACACGGAGCTGCATCTTCCAATGATGGAGTGGGCGTTGCGACCGAACCGCCAGCATGGCCTTGTCGATTACACGTATTGTCCTGGTGCAAAGGTCACCACGGCTTACAAGCCCAAATCGTTGACATCCAACGTGGTTGACTTCTGCATGGTTATTCGTCCCCCGGAAGGAAGTCCCGAGGCCGACCGGATCAATGCGGTCCGTGAAAATCTCCCGGATGTGACCATCAATCACACGGAACACGGAATCCTGTGCAAGAGCCCTATCGTAGTGTCATTCGAGACTAAGCGTCCCGGGGAGGATGAGGAGAAGGCGATGATGCAGATGGGTTCATGGCACACGTCGCAATGGAGGGGCCTGCGGCATCGCCGCCACAAAATGCCGGCGATCCAGTTCTTACCCGGCGTCATTGTCATAGGCCACAGGTGGACTTTCGTTGCTAGCGTGATGCAAGGTGAAAAGTCCATTTTCTACAGCGGGGTCGAGTTTGGGAACACGTCGACCGAGTTTGGGATCATTATGACGCTTCTCGCACTCAACCATCTTACTCGATGGGCGGAAGACACGTATTGGCCCATGTTCAAGGCTGAGGTCCTTGAGATGGCATCAGACAGCTGATGTCTCGTTTCTGGCGCTGATGGGGTTGGGGCGATTCGCTGCCTGGGCGTGTTGGGCAGGGAATTCAAGTGCCAGCAGCCTAGGTATGGTAGCAATCAGAGACATTATCTGTTGTAGGATGAAGTAAACATCTGGTTCATGCAGCTGCTTGAGCTAGCTCTTGCTGGTCAGCAATCGATATGGATTTCCTGGGAGGCCACGGAAACGACAAAGGGAGCGCTCTCTCTGGAGGCTCATGTTTGAGGTGTGACGAAGCTCGTGTGGCGGAGTCGTGGAGCATGCACGATACAGGCACGAGTTTGATATGCTTGAAGGCAGTAGAAATCACAACCGGGGTCAGTCTCTGAGAGTTTGCATGTTGGGTCATCTACAGTACACAATACGGCAAACAAGACGGAACTACATCTTCTTTGACGGCATGATCCCAAGCGCGCTTGCAACAATTGTATATTAAGCATCCTTTTCTTTTGTAATTCAATGTCACGGGTCACCGTACCCTAAGTTCGCGCAAGGTCACTATTGACAAAACAAGAGAGGAAGGTGGGGCAGATCGCGGAGTAAGGAGGGGTCATGTCCCGGTGCACAGCATTGCTCTTCTCACTTTGGTCTTTTGTCTCCCTTTTGCTCCATGCTTCTCTTCTCTGTTCTTCTGTTGCAGACAGACAGCTTGATCATGTGAACTTCAATTCACCCAAAAATCCAAGATAAATGAAACAGCTCACCCCAAGGGATGATCCGCCCGATCGACACGGCTCGGTACCAGTGATCTTAAAGGAGTGCCATGCAGCCTGGTGGAGTGACAGTCGCGGTTAGTGTCCGCGATAGTGCAGTACGCGCGGGCCATTGCATCCTGTCCCGGCCTCCATCAAGTACGGCGGGAGGTCACGTCTTCATATTGCCCAACTTCAGTTTCCCATCTACGATATTTGGGTGTGGTCCATTATTTGGATCAAGCCATGCCGTGATGCTCCTCGCTAATCAGGCTCAATCTGAATACGGGGAGGGTGTTCGAGTGGTGGCTTGGTAAGTAGGTGGATGGGTAGCCGTCAAAGTCATTCAGGTTGTGCTTGCACCATGGTACAATAAGCTACACACACACGCACGCACAAACATAGTAGGAGCATTCTCTACGAAGTAGAGACGATTGGTGCAGGTTCTAGTTGGCGGTGAGATACGCTCGAGGACCAGCACCATACTAATGGAAGGCAGATGCACGTGAGAACACAGAAGTGCTTCAGGGGCAGATAAGTTTGGTGAAGCTTCATTGGCAGCCTTGGTTGAAAGGGTCTTGGTGTTTAGGTGGTACTGTATGTTTCCACCTCATCAAACATATCCAGTCGCCACGCAAAGACGTGTGAGTCGTCTTCAAGACGTATGACGTCCGAGGTGCGGTGTCTGCGTCATAGACAGGTCTGAGCTTGCCTGCTTGCTCAAGATCAGGCTTGTGAACAGCATACAAGTTTTCCCTTCCTCCTTCTTACCTTGCTATCTCGTCTCGAAATCCCAATATATTCCACCTGTAAAGTCAAAGACAGTTTCTTCTCCGCCAAAAGTCGAGGCTCTGTGTTCTAATATTGCCAATGCAGGCGAAAACCCCGTCGTCCCCCTTAACAAAGCTGCCCAATGAGCTCCTTCGGGATGTCATCGGGTACTTATTCTTTCCGGACAACCTGAGTCCCAAGAGTTCTTGTCGACGCTTCAACGACCTTATTAGATTTGGTCACTCTGAACAAAATGAAGCAGAAAATACCGACGTCGCAGAGGAACTAAGCATATACACTTGCGTTGGCTGTCAACGTCTGCGACACTTCAGCAAGTTTGCCGACAACATGCTCATGAAGAAAAGACGAAGAGGTGGTCAAGACGCTCCCAAGCGCTTTTGTATTGAATGCGGGATAGGCATTACGAACAGCAGCGTTCAGGGATACTCCCCAGCAAACCTCATAACTGTGAGAGGTGAAGGGTATGTCGTTTGCTCTCACCGCCGACTCGTCAGGCTTGGGAGACAGGTCGATGAGAGTTTTCATGGTATGATTTGCCACGACTGTACAAGCACATCTCAGAGTATCCACGAGCAGGAGCAAGTCTATCGGATTGCGACAGAGCAGGTCATCGAACGAGCACAACAGCAAAACGTCAGGGAGTTATCTTAGGATTCAGGCTCTGATGAGTATCGTGGCGAGGATGATGCTGCCGCAATTTTCTGGGAAGAACAGATGGATATGGTACAGGCAGAGGCAGCTCTATATATGAACAGTCCAGGAGCGGGGTCAGACTAGGTCAGTAGGCTTCTTGCTAGACCTCAATTTCTACGAGAACGTGTATCGCAATGTCCGAAGATATCCTTTGCGTGGTTCATGGGTTCAGGCGTGAGGTCGGCAACGTCAGGGAGCAGCCTATCTCAAACGTCGGTAGACGAGTCGTTAAGCCGCTCAGTGTAACTTGTTGCTGTCACATCTTCTTCTCTCCATTAAATAGGCCGCTTTGGTCACACCCCGAAGTTCTTCAAACACCATGACAGCAAGACCCTAGTGAGCGATTCTTTCTGCCTTCAACGAGTACGAATATGACACGGTTGACTCTTCCAGCCTGTTGTGCTCACCAGTTGCTCACCAGAACAGCGGTGCTTCAATCGATGATCCACGAGCTTATGAAACAACGGGCTTCAGCCTGAACATCGATTCTGGACGATGTCTTATTGGAAGGCGAAACCACCGTGCGAAACAAGTCGCTGTGGCTGTTGCTGATTACGCCGTTGAGGGTGGTACACCTGCCTGGCACGAATGAGGGCAAAGAGATGCTGTAGCAATCTTGGTCTACATGGGTAATTGCATTGGGACCTGATGTCATAGTACTTATCGATTCCCAGCAAACCGCAGCCCGTTTTTGCCGAGACGTTAACGTGTTGCGATATGACCAGGGCAAGTGAGTTACGCGGGGACTCTACGCGATTTACGGTGTACACCCCCTCGAGCTATGTGATGTGGATTTATCGTGGCGGCGGCAGGAGCCGCCCCATTGGGAGGTAGCACATCGTCCTACCCATCGTTTGTGGCACTGCTGCGACGGTGTGGGGGAATATTTCACGCCTTCATCAACACGAAATGGTTGGAAATGCCCCGTATTCGACTTCGTGGATGACGGCGCTGGTGATCGTCGGGCTCTGGGAGGACGCTGTCTCGGCATCAGCGGCCCCTTCTGGTCGTTTCTGGGCTTTCAGGCATGTGGTCTTTTTTGCTTTCGTTCTTAGATGTCAGTCGCTTTGAGTGCGCAGTGGCCACGTCCGGGATGCGCGAGTCGACGACAAGAGCGAGCTGCCGACAAAGAGGACGTGTCATTTCCAGCATTGAACCATAGCTTTCCGCCGACGTTCAATGGTATGATCAACAGATCGAGGAGCCAACGGGTGCGGTAGCCGGAAGGTCGTGCGTGCCGCTTCGTCCCTCGCCCTCGCGCGGAGGCCTAGAGGGCCACCCAAGCTGCCCCCGGCGACGGGGCGGGGTCGGACGGCTGGGTCGCGCTAGCGCGGGGAGTCCGTGCCAAGGTTCAGCGAGAAGGGTGCCCTACGCGCCCGCGATGGCCGTCCGCCCACCTTAAGTGGTGTGCCACGTACCCAGCTGTTCGGCGCGTCGCTCAGGGCACGGCGCACGTAAGCGACTCTCTCGACCCACACGCTCATCTGTGCCCCACGCGATGTGGCCAGCACACGGAATGAAAAAGCCGTGAAGTATCTCGATTCTGTCGGCCGGTCTGAGGTTTCCTGCAGGTGCCCAACGTGGCCCAACAGCGCTACGTAGCTAGCACCCTAGCTGCCGTCCGCGTCTCGCATGGGCCTATCTGCATGTACTCTCCGTCGCAGCCAATTCGACAGCTGTCACTGTCGCAGAACTCATCCGACGAAGTCTGCCTATGGAACCGCACAGAAGCCCATCTGAAGTTTCTCCTTGCTTAGAAATATGAGGATCGCCCAACATGCGCCACGTACTTTGTTTTTCGATCTATGTCAACGAAGACCAAAATGATGGCTCATAACAAAGCTGCTCGGAACGATACCTCCAACCAGGTTCTGGAGTTGCTCGCGGACCATGGACAGCCCCAAAGGTAGCTCCCCCCACGCTGCGCAGCCTGTTTTGCCATTGTTCATGATTATGCGGCAGGAGCGACCATGTGCCAGCACCGGATCCGGCAACATTGCGGCGCGATTTGCTACCCACAAGCGCACACGGACAATGGCAGTTCTTTGTGGGAAACGCGCCCATCAGGCGCAACACATGGGCACTGAACGTCAACATTTCCCCTACAGACAGCGGACAGCGCACCAGGCGGCTGGCTGAGATCGACGCGCAGATTGCAGTCGTCTGTCATGTCGGCGGGAGCTCGTGGAACTGGGAGGGCGCAGGCAAGGACTTTCCCGCCGCGTGGAAGGAATTCGTCGGGCAGAACAAGGTCTCTCATGAGGTCATCTGCAGATTGTCGATACTCGTCGGAGCACCACCTCTACCAGAATCAGAGACGTGGACTGTCGAAGAAGGTCAGCTTCTGATCGCATCCACAGATGGCGTTGCCATCACTGAAGCGGCATTTGCATTCTTCGACTTCGGGCCTAAAGCGCAGGTCTCGTCAGATCGAGACCGAAGGCTCTCGGGTGAGAATATCTCACGCTTACGACAGCGGCTTGCCATGTTCAATAGGAACGCTGCCCAGATAAATCATACCTGACTTTTGGCAGAAGATGGGGTGGGGGAGCGTGTCCAAGACTCAGCCGCGCGTGCGACCTGGCCCACATCAGCGCTTCAATCTTGGAACTGGAACAGGTGTTCAACATCACCGTCCATAGCAGGACCATTCCACCTGATAGTACATTCCTCGTAGCAATCGAATTCCGGCTCGCGCTGCCATACAGCACATGGAATATGCTTCAGTAGAACGGTTGGATTTTGCCCCAGGTCTTCTCCCCCGCCGCCCCCGTTGTCGCCAAACTTGGCGATCCTACTTCGGATGACTTGCAGAAGCGAGCTCACAGGCGGAGCTGTAGCCGAGAGGACCTGTGAGAAGGGGATGGAAAGACCATGGACCGGCCGGACGTGTCGAGATACTTCACCGTACCTCCTCCGATGTATCTTGTGCTGGACACGTCCTGTGGGGTACTACCGTGAATCCAAACCGTGTGAGGTGCATGCTTGCGCCGTGCCTCGATCGCTCCGCCTCCATCACGTCCGGCGTTTGGACTGGTCTTCCCGCGTTAAACCAATTCTTCTGTATGACTCTGTCAAGTCGCCAGGGGTATCGTGCCTCGCGCCGGGGGCTCGCTTGCAGGGAAACCCTGTCTGGCCACGGCGTCGCGCAATCTCCAGCGTGACCGCCAATGAAACAGCCCTGCCTCCGTCCGATGATGGGAGCCAGCCGCCTGAACTAAGGTAAATGGAGGCTGCGCCCAGCGCGCTTTTGCTAGAGGAACGAAGCAGCACGCGGCGACCGGCGGGCTGTCGCATCCGGTGCCCTTTTGAGAGAGAAGAGCCCGGTGTGGTGGGGACACCGTGCCTTGGGCGCCGTAACCCGCGGCGGCAAGGAAGGGCCCAACCATGACGTGCCAGCATCTGGCGGCTAGTGACCGTTACTGAGGCCGGGACAGGGCTTCCTTAGCGCCCGCAAGTGCAGCGCAGCGGTCCAGCGGGCGGGTGGCTTACCATGCTATCCCTGCCGGCCGGCTGGGCGTATCGCGCTGGGGACAAGCTGATGATTTGCGCGTCTGGTGGACTGCACCGCCACAACACCTAGGCGGTGAGCGTAACGAGTGCAAAGCAGGGTTGTCAGTCAAGCCATGTCGTTGGAGACGCCGAGTTATCCACGACGAGATGGTCTGGCTGGTTGGTCCATGCGTTGATGTAGCTTAGTTCAACGCATTGCCAACGAAGCCCTTGCCTTCTGAGCTGCCTGCGCGCCTGTCATGGCCTTGTCATTACGCCAAAATCTGATCCAAACAACGATGAATCGCAATGAAAAGCATGTAGAATGCTTCCGTTCCTCTTATAATCCCATTCTTTTCCGAAAAGGCTCTATAACAGCCGTCCACAAGACCGACGTCGCCACGAAGAAGCTCTCTACGTCTCCTCCAAATGATGCAGCTGCGAGGGGACTGCCGTAGGAACCGCCTCCCGCATTCGGATTGGCACCCCTGTCCAGCAGAAGTTGTACGATTTCCCGCCACCCAGTGAGAGAAGCGGCTTGAAGGGCGCTTCCATAATGCCCACCAGTTGCGTTGATTTCAGCTCCTTGTTCAAGGACTTTGCATGCCAACTTTTCATATTTTTCGGCACATGCAGCTTGAAGTGCAGTGTTGTAGTGTCCGCCGGTCGCGTTGACGTTGGCACCGTTGTCTAGCAACATTCGAGCGATGCTTTCATGACCTTCGGCACATGCAGCTTGTAAGGCGTTGCCATACCATCCAACTTCATCGTTGACGTCTGCGCCATCCAGAATTAGGCTCCAAGCAACACAGCAGAACCCTTCAGCACATGCCACCTTGAGAGCATTGCCATCGCCTTGGACTTTGTCTTTGACCATCAGCGTCTCCGGGAAGCCCAAAGCTTCGATCGTGCATTTGGAACAAAGTGCCGCATCATCATCCAAGGCCGGTACCTTTCTATCGATCTACATCTTGCGTGCCGAATCTTCTGTGCGAAATACAGTCTTGGCTGCGTCGGTGCCAATTCGGTTGCAAGTGGGGGAAAAAGCAGGAGTAATCAGTCAGAAACACCGAATTTTCCAAGCATGGCTTGGTCGACACTCACGTGATGATGTACGTCGACGCTGGGAGTTTATCGTGTGCTTTCAGGGGTCGACGATAGCCGAGTAGTAGCCAACTGCTCAATGCGCAGGTTTAGGCTGTGCGAGAGCTTGGCTGACGGGTGATTGCAACGCTTACCCGCCTTGACCCCGCGCCTGTTTCCCCGCCCTCATCGCTTCTGGCAAGTTTAGTCGAAGGCGCTAATCCTAATGAATGAAAGATCTTCTGCGCCTGAGGGCTGGCCTTTGAAAGCTGCAGCCTGTAAAGCGGCACCGTGATAGCCTCCAAGTTTCTTGACAAGTGCTCCTTTATCGAGAAGAAGCTGTACGATACCTAGGTAGCCTGCTTCGAAGGCAACGCGAAGGGCGCTAACATCCTCGCCGCTCTGCGTTTTGCGTCTGTTTCTCCATCCAAAAGAAGCCAGGCGCCAATACGCCTAGTGTTCTCTCGGCAGCCTTACCGGCCCACTTGGAGAGGGAAACCAGCCGCCGCCGGTAACGGCTATAAGCGTGAACTCGACAAGGCCCAGTCCCCAGACGTGCCGCTGACACACCGCCGCATGCGTGTCGCCATTGTGTTGATTAACAGCGCCGGGAGCTGATGGCGCAAGGCTCGTGGGCTGGCAAACGCTTGCCGTCCCCGACCGAAGTAATGGTAGCAGCCTTCGGCTGCTCTGCGCCTAGGCACGACAAGACGAGTATTGTTTACCCTGCTAAATGACCGGTCTTTCGCCCGCGATCGATATACCGCGTCTGGTGTGCTTGAGCCACAGATACCAGCGCAAGGGGCCAAAACTTGGGCCTGATAGCGCAGTACATGGACTAGGGGCCCCAAGGTGGTCCTGGCAGCACGTTTTGCCTGACGATCGTGTGAGACTACGGCCGCCATCAGTTAGTCTTCATATCCTCCGCCTTAGTAGCTTGGCCTATACTGCCGCCGACCTCGCCTCATCGAACTGGGTCTTTGATTGATTCCTCATCAGATCTTGCTAATTGATGATGCGACGGCTGATTCACTATGACAGGACTTTCTGAGCACATCTTCAGCTCACGCGTCGCACAATGAAATTGACCAAGCCTTTCGCGTATTCGCCGTTCGTCTCGACCAAGCCAGCGAACTCTTCGTCCTCCCACAGCGTCTCTACCTTGCAGGCCGTGTACATGTTCACAAGTGTCCTCAGTTCGTCTTCTTCATTCACTTTGTCCGCGGTGTTCTGATAACAGTATCGAATCAGCCTGATGACATCCTGAACACCTGCCTGATATAGAGTGAAAATCTCCAATGTTTTTCGCAGCTTTCCAAGCGACAGAGCCCGCAGGGTAGCGATCCCGTAGCAGTCCGCGAACACATAGACCTGAGCGTGACCGAGAAATACGTCGGTGTAATCGTCGGTCGGCCCGTTCTCGCGCACGTCGGCCGCACTAACGTCCGCATAAAGCCGGCTGAACTCGCTCCAGAGCGATCCGGTTGCAGGACGCTGATAAGCTGATGGCTTAGGATTCCACATCGCGACCTTTTTGCCCTTAGTAAAACTAGGACTCCGGGCGAAACCGGCAACCGGTTCCGCAGGTAAGATATCGCTGACGACTGGGTCTGACACTTTGCGGCTCGTGTACGGCGCAGCGTGGTAATCGCCCGTATATATGAAATCTCCGAACCGAACGAAGGTCGGTACGTCAACGTCCAACCACTGTACGCAGCGTTCCTGGGCCTCCTTCATCTTGCCGTACAAGAGCTCACGGAGTGCCTTGGATTGCCGAGCAACCAACGTGCCATGAAGATGGAAGGACCGACGCTCGGCGCCCACGAAAAACTTGAAAGAGTCGGAAGCCAGAATTCTAAACAAAGTCAGAGGAGGTTGCGGGCGTTGAGAGCGAAACGTACTCATCGTAGTCCAACATGGCCATACTTACGACGTGCGATGAATAGCGTCTTGGGGTCTTTTAGCACTGAGGAGCTGATTTCGATGGGAGATCGACGTGGTACTGAGTGAAGAACGACTTCCATGTTGTTCGGCCTATGTAAGCTTTCCGAACTTGAGAAGGCGCTCGGTTGACGTCGACAATGAAGGCGGGTTTTGCAGCTGATATATCTACTTGCAGATAAGGAGGGGTGCGTTGGTGTTTGTTTTATTTAAAACAGCCGGAACGTCCGGCAAGGATGCTGCAAGTTCCATGCGCGAACTTACGGTCGTTTTGCCAGAAGTCGCCGAGGATGTGCAAACAACTTTCGCATATGCATGAGTGTACGATCCAATCTTCCGCTTGGGGAAGGGATGAGCGCTGAGAGGGCTCTTCAATAGCCCATGTCAAGCATCACTCACTACATGGCCTTCTGTATCAGGCCGAACTACATGATCAATAGCGAAAGAGCACAATGTATTTGGATGCGGTGACCAAGGTGGACCTAATGAGTTTCATTCGCACGCCGACATGGTCCTGATACTTCGTTGTGACCACACAGAGCCCTACATAGATACTTGGCTCATCCCGAGATCCTTGTCGCAGCATCACCGTATGTCGCTTCTTTGATAGGACCTCGCTTCGACGAAGGCCACGCTTTGCGATCGGAGCAACCGCCAGAAATTCACCCTGGTAGAAGAAGGTCCAGAGGCGATGAATTTGCCTTTGTCGGCACTCCATCACAAGACCACTAGCCAACACAGCCACATCAACTTTCGACTGTGTGCCCACATCGCGCAAGCAAGTGACATAGATCGCTGCCATGGCGGCTTGTCCCTTGGATTTTTCGATGGCTCCGGGGATCCCGGTCTCCTGCAGGGCTAGCGGAACGGCACATGCTCCACCAGAATCCGTGTGACGGTTAAGATCAGGTCCACCTTTGTACAACAGCCGAGGTGCCACTCGGAACGGGCGACCCCGCAGCCGGCCGGCGTCGGGAGCCGAAGCCAGGATCCGGTTAAAGACGAAGGATGCGGTCGTCATTAAAACCAGGCCATTCCCAGGAAATACACCAGACGCCAGACGACAGCCAGCGATGGACATCGTCGTAGATGATGACGAATGAACGCACAATGCACACTTACGATGCTACAATATAGCGGAAAAACATCCGGTCTTACCATTGTGGCAATACTCCTCCTGCGCGACACGAACATTGACAACTACGACATCGTTGCCGTCCAGAAGCGCGGAAGAAACCCCTTCAGCGCAACGACAGTCGCCAGATGAGTGCGCGATAAAAATGGTGGAGCACCCCCTGTCTCACTGCACACAGTGAACGGCACAAGGGATTCAAATGCATCCACAGGCAGAATCCCGGAGTGGGAGTCTGCCGTACTGTCTTGGAGGAAAGAGCGCGTCTGATCTGAAGGAGTGGTCGTCATGCGTCAGCTTTGTCAAAGAGACGATCAAGTTTGACATGCACACGGAGAGGCTGGACGCACAGATCAACCAGCAGCTAAATCACACTCAACCTACATGAACACACTAACTAGCCGACGACACCCCCACGCACCCTCGTGCCAGCGACAGCATGACTGGTTTCGGCTGCCGACAATAGCCCGGCGGAGACTCTGACAGCAATCTTCGACATAGCCTGTTACTGACACCACGATCGATCACGGCATTGGCAAGTAGTATTGAAGATGACACGTGAGCAGACGTACGGCACTCGTATAGCTTTGCCGGGGCGTAATAATATGTACGTACGTTCGAAGAGACTAGCGGTGCGCGTGCTTTCGTGCCTTCATTGTGTAACCTTTCGCAGGATCTTCGCCATGCGATCGAGTTCCGTCGTCGCATTCTCTGTGAGCGGATGCTCGTGGCCTAGAGTCGAACAAGCTGCTGCTACTAGAGTCTCTTGCAGTTGGACGGCTTCTTCCAGCCTTTGCTAATCTCTTCTGTCTAAGCTTAGGGAGAAGATTATGGTGGTTAAATGGTTGCCCACGGCGATCTTCTCTAGCCTGTGGCTGCCTTCTGACTGATGGAGAATGTAATACGACTGCCTGGATAGTGCTTCTGCATCTTCCAGCCTACTTTTACTTTGGTATGCGGCGGTGAGGTTGTGCCTCGGCATAGCTGTGCAAAAGTGCGTCTCGCTGAATTTGTTCTGATTCCATTTCAATACTTTTTTAAACAGAGGTTCTGCTTTATCCACCTGGCCTTGGTCCTGAAGCTAGTTGGTGTAATCACTTGTAGCGCTGATTGTCTCTGGGGCGTCTATATCGAAAGAGCCTGCTGTCGTCTTGTACATATCCTTAAGTAACGTACTAGACTCAGCGCTTTCCCCCTTGTATCGCAAGGTGTTGGTAAGGCTGGCTTTCGCTTCGAGGATGTCGGGATGCGTGTCGGGCGGGGCGTCCGAATGTGTCTCGCGGACGGCTTCTTGCATCTTCTTGAGTACGTCCCGCTGTAAGTCCTCGGCTTCGTTGAGTCTTCCTTGCCTGACGCCCCCGCTGGCAAGGTTTGCCTTTGAGAGTGTTGTGAAAGCATGCTCCTCGCTAAAGACCTGGCCCGCGGTGGACAGCATGCTCTCGAATAGGGTAGCCGCAACGTTGGTGTCGCCTAGGTCTAGGCGCACGGCGGCCAGGTTTTGAATGGCAGTCAGTGTCTCAATGTTCTCCGAGCCGAAGCTATGTTTGAGATCTTGGACAACTTCCCGCAGCAGGTCCGTTGCTTCCTGAAGGTCGCCATTTGTTCTCAGATCCAGTGCTCTCTCATGTTTCAACTGCCATGGCTTGGGGTCGTCGTCGCTAGTCGTGATATTCTCGCCGTTTTTGGAGTGTTCGCCTGCGGGTGCTGGCAGGCTGTCATCGGTCGCCGTCGGGTTCATGTCACCTCCTCGAGCGGGACGTCCTGCAATCCGCCGTGGAGGAGGGCCGTAAAGCCCGCAGTTGTGGTTGGCAAATGGCAAGATTCTCGGTTTCTGGGGCTCTTGGGAGTCGCTTAGTTTTCTGGGTGACGAGCCTTCGGCTGCGGATCTACTGAGCACAGGCCAGCTCCCGTTGGCGCGTAGTCGAACGGTCAACAGGTGGCTCTCGCTTCGGCAGAGAACTCCACCAACACAATCATCATGCAGCAGCTGTGGGCAGAGGGCTGGCAGCTGCGACAGGCTCTGCGCCCGTAGCACGAACGGCGGAGGCCTACCGTGCGTGCGAAGCACTTTTGGTTGGCAAGCCCACGCGCAACAAAGTACCCGACTTGAGTCCTCGGCTGTGGCCTGTCACCGCGCGCCATGCCAACCGCTCTTCAAGCTCTGCCCGCGCGGGTGGTCCGTATCGGCCCACGAGTGGCCTGTAGTCCAGATGCAGCGCACATTCCAGGCTCCAGAGCAAGAAGAGATTATCGTCAGCGGCAGCCAGAGACCGCTTCACGAAGATGACCCAGTCGCCTTCGTTTTGGTGCCGAACAAAGCGGTAAGTCTTATCTTGTGGCTGGGAAGATGCAAAAGGCTGGTGGCGATTTAGGAAGCAGGACGCAGTTCTTGTTGCGCTGCGAGACTGCTCAACTGGGATCTTCGCGGCGTAGGCGGCTACGACGTGAATGAGGTACTGCACCCATTAGCCTTCGAGGCGTGGTCAATGCGAAGGTGTCTCCCAAACAAACTCAACCTGAGCAACCCTCACGGCACTGAGGGAGACGCCAAATACCACCTTACGTGAGCCTCGGGAGCTACGGACAGAAAGATCCGAGTCTGTGGGAATATCAACTACTTTCAAGATCTTGCTCCCGTCAAGGAGCCCGTCCGGCCGCGACCAGATTGAAAGCAGCCCGGTCGCTGTCGACGCAAAGTCAATATGGAGAGAAAGCCTGTCAATCTGAACATGCAACGGCCCTTGTCCCACTCACGTGTAGCAATTCCATGGCAGATCCAGCTCAGTGATCATGACGGAAGATGGCATTTGAACAAGCCACGAGTGACGCCTCGGTAGCCAGGGATTCACGGCATTGCTGTGCCGCGTTGGGTGCACTTCCTCCTCAACTTCCTTGCGTCGTTCCTCCAGGCTCGAGTTAGCTCCGCTCGACAGAGGCACACATGCCCGGCTCTCAAGCGGATATCGGTAGATGGTTCGTCCCCCGTTTTTCAGCCCTTCAACCGCCTCCCGCATGTCCTTCGTCATGCTCTGGACCAGCCCCTGAAACCTGCCCATCTGTGTGGCGGTCATCCACCCAGCGTCGGGCAGAGTCCATTTCTCGTAGAGCCGACCATGGGAATGAGACACCACGTAGCGGCCATGCCTACGTATGAACAGGTCGCAAAGATAGCAGGCGGACTTGCTGCATCCGATTGCTCGCGGCGCCGGCGTGTGTGGATGTTGTTCCAAGTAGAATATCTGTTGGATCTCTGCGTGCACAAAGCAGTAGTGGGCAGTCCCTGGACGACGGACGCCTGAGGGCGACTCCAAAGCCCTGACATCGATGTTTCTGAACACCCGCATACAGTCAGGCTTCGTTGCCACTCGGGCTAGGTCCCTGCATGTGAAGAAGTATCTGGCCAGCTTGTCGACCTGGCGTATCTCGGGGCTCTCGGCGAGCTGTATTTCAACGCCAACAGACTTCAAATGCTCCTCGACCGAGTTTGTATTGCCCAAGCGAGCGACTTGCGCGCAGCTTATAATAATCGTCCTGAAGGCGTTCCGCAGAGCGTCGGCTTCGATGGGATGCTCGACAAGGTTGAGGGTGTCTACCAAAACCTCGAGCCTGGCCAGGAGTGATGCGATTTTCTCAGGGGGCTGTGGTGGCTGCCCAATCTCAAGAATGCATTTCTTCAATCTGTCTTGCAATGAAGGTAGCTGTGTTTTGAAATGGCGAGGCTGTTCAACCCATAGTGGGCGCAACCGGCCAAGAACGCGGGTGCTGCTAAAGCGTAGCACGATGTCGAGTAGCTCTTGAACCGTCTGCTTTAGATCGCCTACGAACGCATTAGGACCCAATCGCGGGAGATCTTAAGTAACGAACCTTCTCGACTAAGCTTGCTTAGGCGGGCCGTAAGCCGCTTGAGCCCGTCAATGACAGTTGACGATGGTGTTGTGTTACTAGCAAGTACAACCTGAAGGCCTTCAGGATATTCGCGCAGGGTCGCCGTGGAGACGAACTTACCCCCCTCTTCGTGATGAGCAAGGAACGCAACGGAGTCGGCCGTCCGAATCTCGTCCTCAATGGAAAAGGTGTGATCGCGAGAACCTGTCGTCACTCCCCCACGGTAATCTCGTGGCGCGGATGGGATCTCGGTCAGCTGTCGCAGGGATGCAATGGTTTGATGAAATTCAGCCTTCAACCTCGGGTCCCAAAAGTTCTGCATGGCTGGCGATGACCGTCGTGCACGAGCACTGAATCAATACTAGGAAGCAATATTCTTTTGAGGCGCTTTGTGAAATTATCGGCTGCTTCATAGATGTGTCTCTTGACATGCGCCCGTCGTGATCGCGCCTTGGTTTTCACTGCTGGCTGGTTTCTGCTTGGGCATGGTGGTGTGCAGCCGCCTTTGGGCGCGTTCTTCCAAACGCCAACACATCTCGACTGATCCCCCGTCCCTCATGGGCCAACGCCAACAGACCTAGCCAGGTCGCGCGGGTCGGTAAGGGCGACCGTGTTTGTCCAGCCATTCGCGGATACCCTCTCAAGACTGCTGGGCGACGGCCAGCTCCCATGCAGACCAAGGACAGGCAACGGGAAACCCAATGACGGTTGTCTTGGCTAGAGGATATGCGATACCAGCGACATGTCGGTTAGAGTGACTGCCTCGCATGCAAGTCGAAGGTACCCAAGCATGTCGCCCTAGCAGAACATCGCGTTGACGGCACGTTACCAGCCAACCACCACGCTCAGACGGCTCGCCGGTCACGACGGACGTTGTCTGCCAGCTTAGGCACAGACACTAGCGGACACAACATCGACCCCTCGTGTGTAAGTCGGTTGGAGACGACGTCTGTTTTTCCTGCTGAGTGGTTCAAATATCACCCGGCCTTACGCGGACTTCCCTGCAAGCGCCGGCCTCGTCGGCTTCACCGCTGGCCTGATGAAGTACCAAGCAGGAGGTCGGTGGCTTGTCAGGCTCCCGATAACGACATCCATCTTTGGATCCCGGACGAACCCATCACCTGCCCGGCCGTGACAAGTCCGTCGGGCAGTGACAGCGGCTCCTTAGGTTGCCGACGTATACGGAAGCGCAAGACACCACATCGCCCAAGCTTCTAGCACTATCCCACTACATTACTCAACCCTCCAGCTGAACCTTATCACCCCATCACTCTTCCCCACCACGAACGACGGGGCCTGCAGACCCCGCATTGTTAGCGACAAAGCCCGCGATAGCTCCATTAGCCACCCGTGATGAGCAGCGCTAGCAGGCAAACGCACGCACTCAAATTCTGGCCAGAGTTGTTTCGCCCACATTTGCCCAGATCATATACAGCGGCCTTGCCCAAGATTGAATCATGAGGATGCGAGCCATTCGAATCCCAAATTCCTTTCTCTCCGTCATCGCACACCCTCTATCCAACTACATGATGCTTCCCAAGGATGACCCTGAAGAGTTTGTGCGCCCCGTGGCTTGCCCACGGGATGGCGACGCTGCCCTCAATCACCGCCGGAGTACTTATGCCGGCGCACTCGCTTTCAATCTCGTCGCGTTCGTGCTTCCCGCCCTCTACGGCACCCTTTCCAAGCTCTGGGTCGCCAACATCGACTCCTCCCTTGTCGTTACCACGGACGCGTACACCTACATCGGTGTCGTGGCCGAGGTCCTCAACGAAGGTCTCCCGCGCGCGGCATGGGTGATCATTGGCGACAAGGCCTCCCGCTCCCTGATGCAGGCGGGACGACACGGCCGAGTGCGAAGGCGCTCTTCATCCTCCTCCGTCCCGGCGCCCTAACCTTCGTCGAGTCGGCGATCCGCAACGCGCTCTACCTCTGGCTCGTCACTAGTATCGTCTCGATGGGATCGACGTATGCGACGGCGTGGGGCGTCTTCAACACTATTCGGTGGGGTCTCGTCATGGTTCCCGTCCAGGCCCTGGAGCAGACGTCCCTGGCCTTTGTCGGCCACGCATGGGGCTCCTGGAGACGCAGCATAGGTGTGGAGACTAGACGGCCAAAGGCAGAAAGGGGCAGTATCCTCGGGATCGCAAGACCGGCGCTGAGCTCCGTCGCCATAGCCATCGCCGTCGAGGTGCCAGTGTGCTTGTTCCTGACATTCTTCGGCGCTCGGCCATTCGCGCGGTATCTCAGCGGCTCGGACGAAGTTGCCGACGTAACTGCGATGATGTGGCGGACGATTGACTGGTGCTACATCCTGTACGCCACGTCGACGATGCTGGCGACCATTCTGCTGGCCACCCGACCGCGGTGGTACCTCTGGCAGAGTCTGGCGAGCAATCTCTTGTATGTGTTGCCGTGGGCGGTCGTGTGCCAGACGGCGCGGCTCTCAGCCGATCGTGCGTGGACGTATCATAGTCTGGTCTTCGGCCGCTGTGGGGTTGACACCACGCTCGACGATAATTTGCAGATGGAGTCGTTGAAGACGAATCTGTCCCAGGCAGCGGGAACGTCCTTGCGGCATCCTTTCCACGTCCACGAAACCCCGTCGACTTTGGTGAAGACGACCGAAAAAAGGACGTCGGAACAGAGCAGCGAGCTGAGGCGACCTTCGGTCTTTTGTTCTGGACACGATCTTCAGGCGGACCTGCGGAAGCGACACCATGCGGGACTGCGATAGAGAGCACGCCCCCGGTGGTCCCGTAAGGGAAGGGTGGAGGCGCTCAGCAACCCAGGCCGCCAGCTGAGTAACGCTGTGGGGCTGGCATTGAGCGCCTGCGGGAGCGACCATGGACAGTACTTCACACAACGTGCTGGATACATCATGTGGGGCATCACTGAGCCCGCAAATCGAGGGAGCGGGCTATGCGCCGGGCCTCGAGCGAATCCCTGCCCTCTTTTCCAGAATCGGCTTGGGAGTTGGCCGCGACCCCGGCAAGGGCTGCCTGTGGATTCCGGCTACCGCACCCAGTGCTTCAGCACCTCAGCTCGTTCCAACGAATACTTCGCGGAAAGCCAGTGACACTCCGGGGGTGGCTACCCTGGACCTAGGGTGGTGTACACGGTGGGCGAGGTGACAGGCGGCAGGAACGGCCGGGGCGGTCACGTTCCGGCATCCGGCGGCTGTGCGTGCTTGGCGAGCCGCCGCGCCTGATGGGAACCGTTGATTCATCCCTTAATCCCGGTGCTGTGGCAGGTTTCTCCCAGCAATCGCATTGGACGATGACGCTGTGGCGCGTCCTGTCCACCAGGCCAGGCTGTTTCCGCCGGTCACCTGGGCGTGTCGCTGTCCGGATGAAGCTGATGCGATGCGTGTTGAGGCCATGAGCCAGAAGCACAAGCAGGGCCCACTCGGCGCAGTGCCAACGGGACCCTTGCCTTCAGCTGCAGGAGTCATCCAAGATGATCTCTCGTAGATGTCTTTTGGAGTGTGGTCGCATCTGATATGGGATGGAGACAGGGCTGCTGCGACGAGGGTCGAGGCGGACATGCCAGAGATGGCTTGCCGTTTCCGTCGCGGTTTCTGGACCCCGTTCAGTCTGTTGTTTGTTGTAACCAACAGTGGCCCTGTACAGCGTAGTAGAGCCTTTGCGACCTTTTGGTCCTATGGGTCGGAACGCTGAGCCCTGCGCAGTATGCGGCTTTCCATACCATACTGTACAGTCCAACCAGGCGCCCGCAACTGGGCGGAGAAAAAGAGTGCGCGCCGGTCGTACCTAAGAGCTTCTTCAGCCTCAATAACCTCAATGCTGTCTAACGAAGTATTCTAGGTAGGTGACTAAGTAATCCTCAGGATGAGAGCTATTTTCTGGTCATGTTCATTCGTTCAATTGTACTTGCGTTGAATAAGCGCTCTAGGAGGGTTTGTCGCCCAGTGGGCCCGCTACTGAAGTACGCCTCTGGGTTACCAATTATTCACTCAGCAGGGGGCCAGCTATGTTGACAGTAGCAACTGGCAGTACGACCCGAATGCTCCATGGTAGCTCAGAAGGGCAAGGACAGCAACCTCAGCCAGATATTGTAGGCAATCGCTCGCAGAAACATCATGGCCCTCATGGAAACTTCTACGTTGGCTCGACTTCTGCCGGCCCTGAAAGATGATGCTAAGGTATGTACGGACATGCAAGTTTCATCGATGTTGACCACATCTGAACTCCTCGCAACCCATTGTGGCCAGGACATTTGTCTGGATGGTCCCATTAGTGCCTTGGGGGCCGATTGGGCAACGCCCTCAGACCCCGCGTCGCGGCGTCCAGCGAGCTGGCTGGTTGATGGCCCGTCTCGCCCTGGTCGCGGCGCTCCCTACTGCACCACACCTATATTCTTGCAGGGGGCTAGGGTTGGAATATATCTATGGAATTTCCTGGACATGTCGTCGCGTCCGGGCTTGCGCCTTTGACAGTCTGCCTGTGTTCACCTAGCTTTTTTTTTTTCTTCTCTCTCCTATTGCGACCAGCGATCGAGTTGCTTATATCTCAATCGCCCGCTTCTGTTAACCAATCTCTGAGGTTATCGCCGGCGCAGAGCAGTGGTCGGACCAAAGCGCAAATGGGTAGTCCCATCGACCTAAATCAGTATGCGCGACAACTCGAGATTTTCAGGCAACAGGACCATAACCGTCAACAACTGATTAGCGTAAGTGGCCCATTCCTTGGTATTGAGTTGAAGATTGTTTCCTTCCGTGAAAGACCACTGTGTCGTCAAAATGATAGCCCTGTATCTGACATCAGGGATTCCCAGGATATCCTGACGAATCATGCAAATCTGCAACGTGCGTACCAGGAGAAGTGTGAAGACTACAACAACGAAGTCGAGTCTCGCAGGTGGTGGCAGACGAAGGCACAGAACTGCGATGGCGAAATGCAGGCATTACGCAAGACGCTGGTGAGCTTCGATAATGCTTCCCTCCTCCAAGTCATATCCTGTCACGCCAGCGAGCACTGACCGACTTCAGAAATCCAATCCTTTTATTCACGTCGTCATCGACGGAGACGATGCAGTATTCCAGGACAACCTCCTGAAAGCCGGAAGGGAAGGAGGCTGTCAAGCAGGGCACCTCCTCTACAGCGAGATAATGAACTGCGTCAGCAAGGTATATCTTCAAGAGTCAACTCAGGACTGGAGCGTCGTCGTCCAGGTCATCCTACATCTTGACGGCCTTGCTAAGAGGCTCCATGCCTCTGGTATCATCCCCAACACTGCCGCCGACCGCACTCTCGCCGACTTTGGACATGGTTTCAGCCGCGCTCAGCCCTTGTTCAACTTCGTCGATGTTGGCCCCGGCAAGGAAGCCGCCGGTCATAAGATTCGCGAGACTCTGCGCCTCATGGTTCGCAATTACCAGTGCAAGCACATCTTTTTCGGCCCCTGCCATGATAACGGATACCTACCCGTCTTGGAGCCTTATAATGTAGATCCAGGGATAAATTCACGCCTGACGCTTATCGAGACCATCGCGGCCGGAGAGGGCTTCGAACAGCTTAATCTCCGTCGAATTACGTTTCCTCCGATATTTAGATCCGAGAAGCTGCCCGGGCGCACTCAGCGATCCGATCCCGGCATACCACACTCGTCGCCCCAGGCAAACGGCACCGGGAGCAACGGAGACGGTGGCTTACCAGTGAGAACCAGTCCGAAAGGGGGCCAGCCGCCTCGTTTCACGAGCCCGCAGTCTTCGGATCCTGGTGCCGTGGCGACCAGCTTTTGGTCTACCATCTCTACTGGAAAGACAATGGATATTTCCTCCAAGAAGCCAGCCCCCAAGAAGTACTATCTTCTCAATGTCAATAGCCAGCGCGTTGACGAGCAGCTCCCGCGTGTTGACCAAGCCGTCGAGGAGCAATTTAAGAAACGCACGCAAGAGTCTGGCAAAAACCTATGCAATGATTACCATCTACATGAACGCTGTCCAGCCGGCGATACTTGCGTATTCCTGCATGGTGCAAAGCTACGTTTAGGAGAACTGACACTGCTCGTGCAGAAGGTGGGCACTAGCGGTCCCCGTACCCCGCGATCTTGCTAACCACTTCAAGTCACGGGGCATCCCGTGCAACAGCATGTCAGAATGTCAAGATGCCAACTGCATGCGGGGTCACCACTGCCGGTGGCTCAAGAGTTGCAACTATAGGGCGTGCCGCTTCGACGGCTATCATGACATCGAACCGGTATGTCGTTGCTATCTGTTGTTTGTCTGCCAGTAGTGAGAAGTGACATTAGCTGTGCAGAAGCCTCGCGTTAAGTTCTTCGAGGACGGAACGACCCAAATACTGGCGCCTTGAGCAGTTAACGCGCAACTTACATCATCTTTGAGTGCATCGGAATTGCCATGATATCAAGGGATCACATGCGTAGTACGATATGCCGCGGACACTAAGCAGGGAATTTAGATCAATTGTTCGCAATACTAAAAAATAATTGATGACGCTGCAGGCGGCGAATAACCAGACTTACCATGACCTCGAGTCAGACGGAACTGAGGAAAAAGGCTCAATGCCGAATGAGCACGTCTCACAAACCCTCTCGCGTGCCGCAAGGATCTTCCACTTTGACTCGCGACACAAGGGCGTTCTACCATTCCATTGTGCTTGCTGGCAGAGATCGACGAACTGTCTCGGTTGCCGCTCTGTGGCACATCAAACTTTCCGAAAGGCCAAGCTGGGTACTCCTGTAAGCGCGCTGCACTGCCAAACGGTATCTATCACATCCCACTTTGCAGGCTGTGCCAAGGTATATTTGAAGTATCGCATGGTCACCCCGACAGAAGTCTTTGGCGCCTCCTAGTGCGCCAATCGGAGTGAGCCCGAGGCAAGCACGGTCAAACGTTCGAAAGCTGAACGCGCCAATCTGGCTTGCCTCGACCGAAAGCCTGTCGATCGTCTCAGGCAAGCAGTCTACAAAGGAGCTTACACAGCCGAGTGACAAATCACCGTGCATATGGACCCAATGATTATTTGTTGGGAGAGACTGGCCATTCCGAGCACTGGCAGCCGTCAATACAGCAGCAAGCCATTAATATGTTCTCTCTCGTTGATGTTCTGCTCGTGCCATCGGCTCATTCAGCTTACGATAGCACCTCGTTACCCTGCCCGAGGATCTACGCCGCGCGCGCTACACGCGATGGAACAAAACTCTAGCAAGCAACGGCAGAAAAGCGCCCGGTCTCGTCGGTCCAGCAAGTACCATCGCGAGGCCTGGTTGTGGAAGGATGTGAACCGTAAGGTTTTGTCTGGCATCGGCCATTCTACTCTCGTACCGTCGAACACTTTGGTGTCTAGCGAAGCAGGCCACGAACTGGTTTGCAGCTACAACTGGGCAGTTGGTCCGGATGAAAATATTCACATACCTGGTAGGATTGAAGTGCCTAAGGAAGGTACCACACACGAGTAACGATCAATAGGTTTCGCGGCGGTCTTCCAGAATGTCGACCTGCCGATTGCCGTCCCAAATGATCGAGACACTTTTCCCGTGGACCAGAATGCGGCGCGCGTCCCTGAGTTCTCTTTCGCGCCGCTGTTTCGCGCCACGGCATCAATGACCCCATCGTTCCGCTTCGATGATGTTGACATCTTGGTGAATCGGAATAGCCTCAGAAAGCTCCTCGACTTATCTGCGGGATGAAGACAAGATAGCTTTCGCCTCATCCTACACCTGGTTCACCGAACTCTGTTTATCGAGCGTTGCGAGAGGACCGCCCGCGAGCTAATCAGTGGTTCCAAGAACTCCGGGTGGGGCAGGAATTTCGAGCGCAAGTTCACGAAATACTCACCTGGGCCAGAAGACAGCACGTCACATCACCGGGCCCTTCGATACCAGTTAGGTGATCTCACATGTGTGGTGCGTTTTGAGGTGGACGCATGCTACGAGAAAACGGGCGAGCGTAGCGGCTTGGAGTCGCTGGAAGGCGCAATGGGGCGGCTGGCAGCAGAGGACAGTCCTGAGGGGTTCGCTGCTCCCCCCAAACCTCTAACGCAACCGCCGATGGCTCAGCGTTGGCGACAGAAATCAAGACAACGACCAAGCCCAAGGACCCGAGCGCATACATGCCACAGCTCTGGTCTGGTAGAACGCTCTGGCTTATCATCGGGCAGCACGAAAATGGAACCTTTGAACAGCTGAAGATTACCGATACTGCAGCTCTGTTCATAAGCTGAGAGGAGAGGCACCAGCCACAGAGGTGTGTCGCGGTCGCCCACGTTTCTTGTGGAAACCCTGGCAACTGGTGGCTGTCGCTGGCTCGAGTCGTCGTCGGACTATCCTTCTGCTCCAGGATTATCTCTTACGAAAGATCGCGACGCCGGGGCTAGTCGATAGCCAAGGTCCTGAAACTTCTGTTTAATGCAGATGTCCACATGGTCTTAGTCTCATTAGATGACGGGCTGTTGTTTGGTCTTTCTTAAACAGACTTCCTAACGCCGCTTTCCAAATCCAGAGCACCACCTTTGCTTGCTGGATAAAACATCCCACTGACGGCAATTGCTTCCTTGGTTTCCTCCCGACAGAGCTGAGAATCCTGGGATGGAAAAGTCTTGCGACCGTCGTGGAAACGGAACTCGCATTTTCACAGCAGGCCAATACCGACGAGAACAGAATGTGTGACCAAAGTCAAGCTCGTGGACGAGTATTCCCGAACTTGTATGGCGAATCATGGATGTCCTGTTCAAACCGCGGAATATCAGGACAGGTTTACGCAGGGTTTCGGCAGATTCCTTGGGAGCGTTCACGCACCAGAAGATTTTACCGACAGCCTTGCTTTCCTAAAGCACAGTTAGTTTGTCAGGTGACGGGAGCCTCCAAGAGCACTTGTTCTTGCCCCTGACTGGCTTGATCCTCATTGTGTCCACCCGGACGTAATTGACAAGGACGGGTCCTTGTTTGTTCCAAAAGGCAATGGAGCATGTATAGTCCGCAATTTTTCAGAGAAAGCATCCACGGATGAGTGAAGGTGAATCGGTTCCAGTTGGTGGAAGTGCCCAGTGTTCCTGTAATGCTGAACAGCGCGAGGCGACCATGGTCTCTATCTGCAGCGGAGTAGAAAACTTTCAATGCAACTAGCAGCTTCCTAACCCCTGATAAATGGATATTTTTTGTGCCTGCCTGCCTGCTTGCCGTCGATTATTCACAAGCAGCGAGCTTGCATGTTTATTCGAGTCGCAGTACGGTCTCGGTTGAAGAGAAGCCTCCCTCTTGAAGCGCGTCGGGTTTGATGGCGTCGACAGGCTACACCCTTCGGACCGAGCCGCTGGGCGGGAGACAGCACGTTGTTGTATCTTCCGGGTACGCCTGGGGTACACTTGGCGGCCTCAGTCGCCATGTGCCGTCGCCGCCGCCGAGCTTGGCCCAGTAGTGGTCTTTCCCATGTCATGTCGCACAGCCTCTCGAGCTGCATGGATAGGCGAATAAGTACGCGTCAAGTCTGATGGCGCGTTGTCGATGCAGCCGGCATCAAGGTCGTCGTCGAGGGGAGCTAGCTTTCTGGAAGCGGCAGCCACCTCGTCCCGGGCCTCGTGGTTCCATTACAGCGGTCGGGCTGCTGGCAGGCCAGCTGAAGTACTATGCAGTAAATTTGTCCCGGATGTCGTTGGTAAGCGGCCTGCCCGTACTGCATAGGTATCTCGGGCCTGCCGCTGAGTGCGCGGGACAGGAATCCCGAAAGCCCTCCTCCCCGATTTTCAACCAATCAAATTCTCTCCTTCGCCTCGTAGCTTTGAGCCACTCACGATGGCACTCAAGACCCGGAATAGTCGGACAAACAACGGGAGAGCATGGATGGGATCTCGAATCGAGCCATTTAGTGGAACAAAGTCTAATCTACAAACCAATATGATCAGTAAAGAGAACTTCCAGCCAAGCGAAGTCGCTTGGACCAGAAACCAAAAGCATCAGCCCGTGACCCCAGGGGATGAAACAAAAGAAAAGCCCTTACTCTCGTGAATCGCTAACTCGTTCGCGGTTAGATACGTTGTGGTTCCGGCCCCCACCCCGCCGGCGGCTCTTGCGATGTATCCCTGAATGACATCGCAGTCACAGTCGCCATGCTGAAGGATCTGACCCTTCAGACTCAGGATCTCGTTCCTTAGCGCCGTCACGCATTCGTCGAGATGGATCCGTTCCTGGATAACTTCCTGCTCTTTGGTTGCGAGGCCCAGTTCGTACTGTTTCGTCTTTTCCCGACAACGTTTAGCGGCAGCGCGGTTCTTAACACGGTAAGTCTTCCTCCTCTCTGGGCCGGAGAGGCTCACAGAAGGCTTCTGATCTTCACCATTATCGTTTGATATCGTCGTCGTCTCATGCTTGGGAGAGGGTGAGCTCGTAGTGCATGCCCTATTTGCGGAGCCAATCTTGACCTTTTCCAGGGGCTGCCGAGTTATCGAAGGGCTGGCCCGAGGTTTCATCGTCTCCACTGATAGCCGCTCCGATTTGGGTCCCGCGCAGATAATCTTTGCATCCTCAAAGGCGTTTGTCAGGCGGTAGTCGCGGCTGAAGATGAGCATGCCGTAGTCGGCCAATGGGTCTGAACATTGTTAGTACCTGTAAAGGATGGCTGCAATTATCGATGGTGTCCAGGCCAAGTAGTTGATGGAGGTGCCCAAGTTGCAATGCTAGTGCTCTGATCCGTCCCTTCAGTTCCAAATACTTGATGGCCCTGCACTTCTGTCTGCCACAGAGGAGACGGTGGCATGCCGGCAGAGACGTTTGAATCGGGGAAAGACTCGCTGATTTCGCTGTATGCCGCCCATCCCCGGCATGAGTAACCGTTTGCCGGAGATAGCAGGTCGTCCTGCTCCGGCAGAGTGGGAACAAGTGGCTGTGGTATGTCGCCAGTTTCTGTCATAACTACTGAGTCGAGGTAATTTGGATGTGCGCCCTCTCCGTATCTGTGATTACAGTCAGTTTCTGTCTATACTTAATTTGGACCACGCGACGCATACAATATGCCTTACAGAACTGGGGTGGATCACTCAAGATCAGACCACACTTGTTCTAGAAGCAACGGATTCGATGACGAATCGACGATGCAAGACTCAAAAGTCGTATGGCAGTCTGCTTGAAGCTTTCTGTTGCTCCAAAGATGGACGGACGAGATTGCCGAGGTGATACGGGGAGTGAAAGCCGCTTATCTGGATGGAGGGGGAAGAGTTGGTGAGAACTAACGAAAGGTCTGAGCAGCGGAAAGACGGCTTGACGGAGGCAGATGCAAGGCCGAAGTTAACAGGAAGAGGCAGGTCGTGGTCTTGGAGGAGCCAGGGTCAGAGGTGGTGTCGATGAAAATGGGGACGAGGGCATATTTGACTGGGCCCTGAATGGACGGATGGGAAAGCGGTTGTGGGCGATTGCCATGCATGTCGGGGAGAGGTGGGAAGCGGAAAGGGCGAGCCCTGTTTTGCTCCCTCCTAGAACAGGGACAAGTCAGGTCGGTAATTGACTTCTGCTGTCCCCAGCCTAGACGTTGGCAGGAGCTTCGGTCGACTTACCTAGACACGATTCCAAAGGGCAGAGGGATGAAAGTCTTTCGTTGTACCGCGAACGACATGCGCCGTCTCTCAAACTCCCGTTCGTTGAGGTTCAGACATGGAACCGAACTCTCCAGATGCCTTGGCCATCATCTGCAGCTATCCTGAAGAGATGGTCTGAAGAATTGGTGGGCGGTTAGGTTGGGCCCGACAATGACTGTGCCATACCGATTGCAAGGTACACACCATTGAGGACGGGTACATGCGAGCTGACACGTCCTGCCATGTTTTTTCTGGATAGGGACGGATCTCCGTAGTAGGGCGATAGACAGGCAAGCTTGGAGGCCAAGCAGGTAAATTGAACGAAGGAATATCGTTTTGCTGGGAAGAAACCAAAAAAACCAACGCTGAGAAGCAGAGGCAGTCGCACGAGACCAAAGACTGATGAGTTGAAAACCTCAACGACATGAATAGAGGAGAATAGAAAGAAAAAAGAGGAAGAAAAGGAGGAAAGTATTTGAAGCCCCAGGCAGAGAGGCTGCGACGGCACTGAGTTCGTTCACGGCTGCTGTAGTGGTTGTCGAGTGGGCAAGATTCCAAGCGACGTAGTTGCAGGGACGAGTGAGTAGGGATCTGACCAGTGGCGAATACTTGGGCTTCAGAATTCATTCCGGACAAGCTGGGAGATGTGATTGGTCCACGGACATTCCTCCAGCCCCTAATTTGTCACATCAGTAAGAACGACCCTCAACCCTTCCCCCTCTCTCCTGCCTTCCTCGCTTGAGAGTGCCCGTCCCGTCCTGCAATAACGGTCCAGGGCAATTGGCGTCCAATAGCGGGAAGGCTCGCCGCGACCCCGTTAACTTTCTTGCAGCCAGGGCACTCCCTCACCACCCTCACCATCTCAGGCCACATCTAAAAGTGAAGCCTTTAACAGCCCGAGGCTCTCAACGCTCTCAGCACAAGATCATGCGGATGGACCTACTTCAAACAACACGCTCTCTTATTCCCGAAACCTGTCAATCTACCGTCTCCGACTCGAGCTGGAGAAGAACTCGGTCGAGTCTGAGTCCATGGAAGTATTCCTCCAGCTCCGTTCTGCTCCTCGACTCGCCTAACCTCACTACGAATCCCAGCATCTCTGCTTGCAGTCGCCAGACAGAAAGAAGACCGCCTGGCGTGTTGGGGGGGTTGTCTTCTGTCGATCGCTGGCGAGCCGTCCTCGCTTCGCTCAGCCCACACGGATCAGCCGTACAAGAAAGCGACCCCCTACAGCCTCAACCTCGTTCAACGTCAGATTCTACCCGTCCATGATCACTGGTCCAAGGGTACTTTCCTCCCGTCTGTAATGTACCGCACGAGAAAGACAATTGCAACTCAAGCAGCTACAGCGCATGCACCTGCTCGAGCTACCTAGGGTCCCTCGACTGGACGAGAAATTCGATGGCTGGCGTCAAAATAAGCGGCTGCAACATGCTGTGAAACTCAGCCACAGCCACAGCAGTACAAGAACAGCCCCCAAAGCCCGACGGCGGCATGCGAAGGTGCTGCCTGTAGCTGCCTATCCAATATTTACTATCACCCAACGCCTGTCAACCGCCATGAGTGCCGACAGACAAATACACCCACGCAGAAACAGCGCAAAACTACTCTACAACTCTGTGTTGCTGCTCTGGGTCTTGCCCACCTGCTTCGCCGACCATCGATTGCGATAGTGTAGCCATAGACGAACACCATGAATGACTTCAACCCCTTTACCCGCATCTCGCGCCATCCAACTCATAAGCATCCCTTACGTCGATGCATCTCGACTGCGTAGGCTTGGAAGTACGGAAGCCACACGCGCAAAGAGCTGCACCAACAGAATTTCAGCGTGCATAACTGCCGAACGACAGCACAGAAAGCCCAGCAGCAGACATTCCCGGCCAACCAGTGACGCCCTTTTTAAAATCGACAACAGAGTTGACGACACCTTAGAAAGAAATGTGAAGTACAAGAAAGTACTAGCAGTCTATGCCACTCTACATCTGCTGCGCCGGCTCCAACCGGCTCGAGATACGTTGCAGCGCACTCTGATGAGTGCGAAGGGACGAGCATGTAGGATACTACGCAACGGCCTATAAGTCAGAGGTACTTGTTGGCCACGGCCAGTTTCGCAACTGGGGATATCGCCGCACATGCAGGGCCGCGACCTCTGCTGACTTCAGCGCCATCGATTTCCAATCACAATTTGCGATTAAATGCGATGCCACCTAAAAGTACTAGCAGCAAAGACTCCAGGATACACTGACTACCTTAGGTTGCAACATTGCGAAGACACTAGTCCGCTTCAAGCACCCTGTTCACACCCTCGACATGTCCGACGTACCGCGTCACGACGAACGATGGCCGATCAACCGGTGGCGAGCGCTAGACCCCAGAAGAACTTGCCCTCTTCTCCATAGTTGTTCCTCGCACCTTGGCTGAGACATGCTTCCTGCGGTTAAGCTGGCGTACTTTACCAGTTCCAACTCTCGGCAATGCCATTTTTAGTCTACGGAAGCAAGGCAAAGGTACCATAGCTCACGCCGCACGGCAAAGATACCCGGAAGTCTGCCCTATTGTGCCCCTTCCACTAATGTGCCTAGACGCTTCATTTGAGCGAATACCACGATCGAAGCTACATCAACTGCATACACCGTATCCTAGAGCTTCAAATCCATCGACGGTCGGAGCAGCTGGAGGTTGTCACAGAGTGATCCAAGGCATACAGCGAACCAGATTGGCCCCAAGGCGGCGGTTTCCTCGTGTCTTCCAACCAAAGCAGCCAACCTTGCTTACTCATCTGGTGACTGAATTTCGATATTGAAGTTCGTCCTGTATCGGGTCCGCTTGTTTCTTATTGCAAGAGCGCCGGACTTCAACACCGGCTCTGACTTTATGAATCGTCACGCCTATTATAAGGCTGCTGAATCACCACTACATGGTTCAATGCCACGCCTCATATTGCCGATCATGCCTCAAATAACTAAAGAAGCGAGCACTGAATTTCATGGGAAAGCACAAAGGCTGACTTGGTCGATGGATATCCACTAACGTCTAAATGATAACAATTTTTGGCACTTTAGGACATTTCGCATAGTAGATCAGCCCATCAGTTCTACCTCCTTTATGATCTTACCTCCTTAAGTAGACCAGATTTCTGAACAAATACAGCATTTTGACCTCACTGAAGACACTTGGCTCATTTATTCTTCATTTATCTTTAAATCAACAACGCTTGATCCCAAGGTATTCTCGTTTACCGTTATTCCTAGTCTTACTTATCGCTTGGTCAGGCGACATGCAGAGCCCTAACTTACTGGGGCCGCCATCATCGCGCACGTCAAGCGGTTCCATCCGAAGCACCGGCAGCTCCGAGGAGTAGACAGCCGCAGGTCCGAGCCGTGGGCAACGGTAACTCCTTCCTTCCACCGCAAATGAGGAAGCAACCGTTTGACCTGAGTACTGTTCCGTCATAGGATGCTGAAAACGAAGAATTAAGGTCGGTTTGGCCCCCTGTTCCAAAAGACCACTGTTCTAACAAAGCGGAACCAACCACACGCAAAATCAAACAGCGCGACGGCGTCAGGCCTGTGTGCCATTCTTGCTAGCACTCCAGGATACCATGCGAATACCCGGTGCCGGAGGACTTTTCGCAGAAAGGTGGGGCCCAGGAGGAGAGGGTCACCCGCATGACGATGGCGCACGAGAAGAGCCGTAAGGTGATGCAGCTGTTGTGGGCCAGCCCGCACGGCGCGTCCCTCGAGAGCCTGCGGCGGTTCCGGCGGTCGGCGGGCCTTGATCATGCCATTGAGATTGTTGCGGATGCTTCTCGACCGGACGTCGAGTACAATAGTGTTTGCCCGTTTCTATTGCTGGCCGAGACCTGAGTGTGCACTAACCTTGCTGCCGGGCACCTGTCAGAGAAGGGCGTAGTTTGAAGAAGACAGAGGAGGTTGAGGAATTAGATATCTGCAATGAAGATGCCGCACACCTGGAAGGCCTGGAAGAGCTGTTGATGCTATCAGAGTATGTTTCCCACTGGATTGAAGTTCTGCTCGTCTTCCCCCCCCCCCCCTTTTTTTTTTTTTTGCGATCGCACCTGCACATGTCCGGACGTGATGTTGATCCGGTGCGGCCCATCGTCACATCGCATCCAGCAGTCGCCATCGGCCGAAAATTCAAAGAATGAAGGTTGGCGATGGCTCCGATCCCAACCAGTGTTCCTTCAGGTTTTCCTTGGCCACATCGTGATATAACAGCCCCTACCATCTATCTGCGCGTGCTCGCTCATGACGTCACATAGGCGACTGAAAGTACCCATAGTGTCGGACTTGCCACCGGATATCACCATAGTACGAAGAAGGCTGAAAGGGGGGCTTGTGGAGGGGAAAGGGGTATTGTGGCTAAAGAAAAAAAGGGAGGGGAAAAGACGAACAAATACTCTCAAGAGAAGAAAGCAACAAGGGGTGAGAAATACAGAAAAGAAGGAAGGGAGGTAAAGAGGAAAGAATGAAAGACGAGACCAAGCAAAACGCCACGATGCCGACATGCCCCAACACCATCGTTTCTGTCGTTTGTAAGGGAAAAGATCGTCCACCCGACTCGGGAAGAGCCCGTCGATGGCGTCTCTTCGCCTTCAGATCGACTGGTATTCCTGGGGACCCGGCGGTGCGGCGGCTGCCGCGCTGATACCGCCCGCGGCTCTGGCGATGTATCCCTCGATAAGCTCGCAGCCGCAGTCGCTGTGCTGCAGGATCTGGTTCTTGAGGGTCAGCACCTCGTTTTTGAGCGCCGTCACGCACGCGTCGAGGTACATCCGCTCCTGCGTGATTTCCTTCTCCTGGACCGCAAGGTCTTCCTCGTACTGTTTCGTCTTTTCGCGGCACCGCTTCGCTGCCGCCCGGTTCTTGACGCGGTATTTCTTGCTCGATCCCGGGGGCCAGCTTTCGCTCTGCTCGCCCGCCTCATCTACCTCGCCCTGGTATTCTCTGCCGCTATCGGTCGTTGTTGTTACCTGGTTGTCGTGGGAATCCGAGCTTGACGGAGATGGTTTGCTTCCAGCCCCGATCTTTGCCCTCTTACGACTCTGTGTGGTGACCGACGGAATAGTGCAGGACTTGGCGTTCGAATGTGTTCTTGTTGTTATTGTCGCTTTCTTGGCGCGAGGACGGGGTTCCGGTTGCGAAGGCGTACTGGGAGCGGGCCAAGCCTCGCCTTTTCTGTGTGTGTTCACGAGGGATACCAGCGGTTGCTGGAAATTTCCGTACTGAAATGGGAGCCAGTTGTTCTCGTGGGAAGCCCAGGTAGCCGCGGGACACATAGCTCCTATTCCCAAGTGTGAAGACTCCAAATTTTGAGGAGTCCCGGCCTCAAAATGCGACGGGTTTGCGAAGTCGGCTAACTCGTTCTCCGCATAAATGGGTTCGACTGTGTAGTCGTCCAACCCGGGCCATTGCTGCCATTGTGGCCCCTCGTCTGGGGAGAGAGAGCCGCTCTGGCTCGGATGTGTGGGATATAAAGTCGTGGGTACAAACATAGCGGTAGTGTCAACCATGTCTGGTGGACAGGGGTAGTCCGACGAGGCCATCGCGTCCTTGCTACCCAGCGATTAACTGGTTTGAAACTTTGAACTGGGGGGGTTACAGCCGTCCAAGCTCGAGCTTACAAGATGATGGCAACCCCTTTCAGGAAGAGACGGCGCGGTGATGGTGACTGTGGTGGGACCGCAAAATTCAGATGACCCGGCCAAGTAATGGACGTTGCTGTGTTCCCCTCAAATATGCCAGATACACGAGAGATATTGAGGTTGGGATGCGGGATGGCTGGTGGATGAAAAATTGGAGACGGCAAGGAAAGATAGCAGATGAGCTGATGAGGCAAAGAGAATGAACGAGGGTAGCTTGAATGGACTTCCAGGCACCCTATCAAAGGAAACGTGGACATGGATCTGCGTGAATGGGGAAGTTTGCAGGGTCCAGGTGAAGGGTGAAGGACATTGAATGGTGGCAACTCTATTTTGTACGGCCAAGGCGTGCTCGTATCGTTGGCATTCAAAAGCTTGGTCGATGTAGCCGACCAGCCGCCCCGGAGCGGGATGGCATAGGTGAGCAGCCTGGCTGTTTCGTTTTGTTCGACGAGGCCAGCAAGACTCAAGCGGCAATGAAGAAGCCACAGCGAAGAGACGGGATGATAGGCTGGAGAACAATGGAACAAGACCACTTAAGAAGCATGTTTACAGGGTACATGGGACCAGGAAGCATGCAAGAACAGGCTGGAAGGCCGGCGAGATAGGTAAGAGGGGTCCAAAATCGACAGCGGTGGAAGGTCGCAAGACGAGCAAGCTTACATACTTACGGATAGACCTGCGTGAGTATTGCAGGAGCAGAGCAGAGCAGAGCAGAGCAGAGCTATTTCCACCCACTCAATCCTGGTAAACGGAGGCCAAGTCCGGGCGTTTTGATAGGTTGAGACGTGTTGGCAGCAATAAACACAGCCAATGACAAGTGCTTAGGGGCACTGGAGGGGATGTCCGGCTCCAAGGGGAAAATATGATTGGTGTCGGTCTCAAGTCCGCGGAAGTTGTCTTCGACAAATAAGACTGCCGCCCTCCTGCCGCCCCTTGTCAGATCCCTAGCCCCTCCCTCCCTCTTCCCAGTGGCCAGCTAGGTAGCTGTACATGGTAAGATGGCGTAGGGTAAGTAGTGTAGGTAGGTAGGGCACCAACTGTGTCGCCGTTCGGCGCTGCAGATCCGCTGGCTTCACCCTCACTCTCATCACCATGTACATAACACATAAGACAAGTAAAGCTGCAGGTGCACGACGTCGGATATTGTTCGAGCCTCACAACCTCGCGCGGCACTACGTTTTGTTCAGCCGTCCGCAAACGGCTTACAGTATCGCTCCACATGACATTTTTTTTACACCTGCAAGCCTAGCTGTACCGCCGACACATGCTCTCAACATGGCTCCCGCATACATCGTGATGTGGCCCGCTCCTCCGCTCGAGGTCCCATGCCGTGCCGTGCCGCGAGCTCGTTGCCAGCTCGCCTCCCACCTTCCGCCATCCACCTTCCGCCATCCTGCTACCGTGCTGTGCACATTCCTCCACCCAGGAGACACAGACACATACAGGGACGGGCACACACACATACACACACTGCATCCATCCTCGATTGCAGAAAAGGAATGCTCTGCACCTCGTGTGATTCCCAGTTGTCCTCAATAGCGGCGGCACGATGGAGCAACAGCACAGTCTCTTGTTTGATGCCAGTTGGGCTTACAAATCAGCCTGCGGACTCGTTGCCTGTTAACAATTGATATCTTGACCACGATAACCAGGGACTACCATGGAGTATCATGAATGTGAGATCAAACATGAGGAGGGATAGCAGCTGCAGAAAAGCCGCATCTGTGCGCATGTTGCGCCATTACCACGTTATGACGAGATCCCCGCAGCCTTACGGCGCACCCATATCACCCCTTGGAGGATTTTGTTTTACTTTTCTTTCATGTGCTTCTTTTTTTTTTTTTTTTTTTTTTTCTTTTTTTTTCCCCTCCTCTTTTCCATCTTTTGCCCTTGGCCAAAGACATGCCACGACGACATTCCAACTTCGCACACCACCCCACAACATGCAGCGCGCAGAGAGCCCATACGGCGGTCGTGGCTTTGCGAGCGACCACGGTGCCGCGCTGGCTAATGCCTGTACACCATCCATCCCATGACGGGAAGTCAGTCTCGCTTTAGCGCGCTCACGAAGAGGGCCAGCCTTTGATTGGGTTCCTAGACATGTCAAACTTTGAGTTGGGGCTCGCTCGGAAACTCTCATTCGCCTTATTGGCCCTTATCGATCAACGACACCACCACCACGACGGGCCGATGAAAGTCGAATGAGATGTGCTGCTTGCTACTGCCGAAGATTATCGGTCCCCAGGGCAAAATGGGAGGCTGCGTCAGGCCATTTGGCCTGCACAGTCCCTGCACCTCCCTCTCCCTCCCCACGCGTCAGCCCACGCACCTTGACGAGTTCACAGAGTACACCGGGTGCATGTTGGCGTCCTTGGCCTTCTGCCGCCCGGATGCGCTTACGCGGTGACGCGGAGCGGAGGTCTTGCCGCAAGCCGTCAGTGCGGCCGAGTACCACGGGGAGACCGCGTCCGCGCTCAAAACCATACCAGCGTCCGCATCCCCGGCTCTGTGCTTTCCATTGCCGCGTTGAAATGAGGATTACTGTAGGGGAATGAATGGAGATGGAATCTGGGTAGAAAAAAAGCAAAGAGACCAAACAGAAAGGAGCTCCCGCGCTGCTGGACGGAGGAGAGGTTGTGGAACTGAAGAATCCACTGGGCAAGGCGTCGCGTGCTAATTTCTTTTCTGCCTGTTCTCTTTTCGTTTTTCTTCTTCTTCTTTTTGCCTTCTTCATTTTTGTTTTCCTCTTTTCCTCTACCCGTCTTCATGCACTTGATGGTCCATGCACAGCGACCTACACATGGGTGGTACAACGACGAGACGACTGATAGGGCGCGAGATCGGGCCAAGCTATCATGAACATGCCAATCATCCGCCGGCCCAAGTCCCAAGGGACCATCTTGGCATCCACAGTCTGGGGGAGGAGAGGAGAGGGGAGGGAGAGGGGGGCGTCAAGGCAAACGAGAGCCTTTTGCCACCCCTCCACACACCGACCAGCCGGCAAGGACAGGTCCCAATCAGCAGCCAAGTTGTCGGACTTCAACTCCGCCCCACTCCGGTGAGAGGGGGAAGCACTGCGACCCTGAACCTCATCGCCTGGAACATCGCCATTCGTCCCGCGCGGGCGGCGACCGCCATTCGGGTTCGGGTTCGTTTTGAACATATTCCATTATTCCAGAGACGTGAGACCGGCCATGTAAGTCAGATACTGGTCCTGGTGTTTTCGCCACGATGGACGGTAATCCTGTATATAACGCTCTTGTGTTCCACGGTCTTGTTAGGATATGTGCGGCCTCCCGTGACCAAAAGAATCCTTTCCCACTCCGCCGTCGGATAACGCAATCCGAGTATATGAACCACTTCTCGGGAGACCGCGGAGTTGGGTCTGGAATATGGTGGTTTCAAGCGCGGCGGTCTTGACCAGAGTACGCCGTCTCTTCCTTTCGTAGAGGCCCCAAGAGTGGCTTGCTGTGAAGTATATCAAACAAAGCAAGAACGGGAATGGGGTTTCTGGGCTATAATCTCGATTGCTGACCGACTTGAGATCTATAGAGCCAGGGAACAAAAGCGAGGGGGGGCGTGCGTGTAGGTAGGTCGCGCTGCCTGCAGGCTTTGTAGGCGACGTTGGTAGACCGGTAGTGTATTTTTGGGATGTGGACAGGGCAGTTTTTACATGGGATTCGGAGGGGTGCAGTCCATCCTTGTGTGAGAGATGCTCGGTTCCAACTCCCTGGCGTCCACGGCCTGCAAACTAAGATGGCCCCCAACATCTCGGCCCCCAGAGGGACGCTGTCAGGCTCACAGAGGACTTGCCAATTCAGAGCACATCTGTCAAATCCAACCGGGAGACCATGTCGAGGAGGGCATGCCGTGGAGGAGCCGAAAGCCGCAGACAAGACAGACATCAGAGCTAAACCTCATTCCGCCCAGATGACGGTGCTGGGGTTTCAATGACCAGAGGAGGAAGTTGGTGTGTGCGAGGGCGCCTTGAGGCAGCCCGCTCGTTACATCCGCCTCGGGTTTTACGGATACACCTGTGGCCCTAGAACTGTCGCGAGGGGTGAAAGATGAACTCAACACGGATACTTGTGGTGCTTCCAGGGAACATGCAGCAAGTAAGACGAACCCAAGTTCTCAAGACACAGCGCAGCGCGGGGCTTTCATGGTCTGCGGCACGAGGTTCCAGAATCTACCATCTACCTTCCTCTGGCGATGGGGCACACGGCGCTCTGCAGAGTTATATCAGGTCATCCTTGAAAGCAAGGCGTCAGCAAGTCAAGAAGAAAGACTCAAGCGCCCCTCGTTATATGGTCGTTTCTCTTCTTGGCGATGCCAACTTTGATGGAGTCCACTTGCCCCCATCCTACTGTACGTGATCGACCACGGTCGAGAAGGCTCGAATAGGTAGCCTTCCTCCTCCTGCGCAGCGATATGCGGACGGATCAGTGTTATGCGTCTGGAACCAAGATGCAATCTTCTGGACATACAAGGGCCTTTGCTCCTGGTGTGTCATGTTGGGAAGGTTGTACATGAGACGCATGGCGCAAGATCGATAACCCATCAGTTATCAAGTTATCGAGACTTCTTATTAGTAGCGAGCACGCTCTCGGAACCGCTCGTCTCGGGATGGACCCAGAAGGTCATCAGGCGTTCCAAATCAATCACGGAACGGAACAGGGGCCGAGGGCCAATAGGAGCTGCGAACCAATAGGGGGTGAAGCCACGCTTACTCGCCTGGTGGTGACTTCATCCTAACATCGACTTATCATCATTCTCAGCGTGAACCCCCGCCCTCAGCTATTTCACGCGTTGGTTGTCAATACCCACCAGAGGCCCTGCCCGCGCCGCTTGACAGTATCTAGGTAAGGCTCAACTGCTGGGTCCGAAGCTGGCGGAGTCTTTGCGAAATACTACGCAGTAGATGACTTTGGACTTGTAGGCGATTAATTACAAGCACACGGGCAACCAGGAGCATTGGCTTCACCGACCACTCCAGTGACTGGACGTCTCCGCAATGTTCATGATGCGTATTCTTCCCTTTCTACTCATGTATATCAAACTGTTTCCCCCCGTCTGATGTCACACCTTCTCATCGTTTCCGCTTCTCGCCACGTTCTTCCTCAAAGACTACAGTCTCCTCGCTTCTTGTGGTTTTTAGACCACCGCGGGGGAGTAAAACGTCTGTGGAATTTGCTTGCGAGTGACACCGGGCCCGTTCCGCGTCATTCTAATGTGAAGAAGGAAGAAAAGCTCAACCGGTCTAACTGTCTCCAGTCTTTTAACATACGCCCGGCACTGTTGCCGCACCTGTAGGAAGTGAAAATGCATTCACTCCATAAAGCCGACCTTATGTCGAGTTCGGCCAGGCTACGGCCGCTGCTGCCGCTCGCCCCGGGTGGCGATCCACAATCACAACACCAGCCACAACCACAGCCGACTCCGAGTACCAGGCGGAAGAGAAAGGGACCCCAGGTTTCGGCCGCATGCAACGGTACGATGGTCCAAACTGGTCCTTATTGTCCCGACTCAGACCGTCTGACATCTTATCGTTCCCACAGGATGCCGCAGAAGAAAAGTCAAGGTTAGGGTTTCTTCAGCCCCTGTGGTCTTATCACCGTGCAAGTCTGGCTAAAGTACCTTAATGAAGTGCGATGGCATTCGGCCGACCTGCCACAGATGCTCCGTGACAAAGACGCCATGCGTTTATCCCGTACCCGAGGGTGTCTCTCTGAAAGAGGCCCAGAAACAGAACTTCACGAACGCGTCAAGGGCGCATGAGAGCAGCCGCAGGGTGCTAGAGTTGCTGAGCGGCAACCAAGATGGCGCCTCTCACGAGGTCTTGCAGCAACTGAAGCATTCGAAGCATCTTGACGATACTATTCAGTCCATTGCCGACGCAAGTTTGCTGCTTCCGCCGGGCGACAGGGGGGGTGGCATGGGCGAGCCATCTGGACCACGGCTCGCTTCAGCGCTCGAAACACAACCAGTACATGAGACAGAAACCTCCATCCTCACAACATCGCAGCCGGAAGACAACGTGCTGGCAGATACAGTGCAGGATCTGACAGGGAGGTGAGTTCTCGTTGATACAATATCAGAGGGTTTGTTCATGTTCGCCTCATACTGAACTAAATCCTTCTTCACTGGTAGCATTGATAGCTTTTTGACATCGCTGTCGGCTGAAAGTGTCGACACCGGCGTCACCTTGCCCATCTCTCGCTGGACGACGGTCTTGGGGGACGACATAATCTTGACGCAGATTCTCGAGCTATTCTGGATCTGGGACGGCACGCTCTCGAGCCTCGTTGCTCGTGATCTTTTCACCGTTGAACTGAGAAATCCAGACGCACAACAGAAGCATCAATTCTGCTCTCCACTTCTTGTCAACGCCATACTAGCGGTCTCATCTGTAAGCAGCAAACCAACCAACCAACCCCTCCCGGGTCTTCTATTCTCTTCCTTCTCGCGCCTGTGCCATGGAGACTGACATCGCTTCTAGCTACACTCGATGAGGAAGCACAACAGTCTGCAAGTGGATGCCAAGGATATAGCCCGGAAGTTCGCGGAGTGCGCCTTAGACCTTCTCGACGCCGAACGAGGCGTAAGCTCCTTACCACTTCTGCAAGGAACGGCAGTCCTTTGGGTTTACTCTAGCAACGAGGGAACCCTTGCCTCTCGAAACCGGGCTGTGGGCCTGGCTGGGCTGATGCTGCAGACCTGGTCAGCTCTTGGCTTGGGTGTCGATGGGTCCAACCTGTTCCACCATCCAGAGATCCAGGTGACGAATGACTTGAAACTGTGGCAAGCTATTTCTCACGTCGCCTGGGGCTTCTATTGCTTCTTCGCGTAAGTCGCCTGGGCCAGCCTTCTTCTCGGTACGATGCCTCCCGAGACACTGACTGTGATCCTCCCGGCACAGAAAAATGTCACTTGTCTACTCACCACATATGCTCGTCCCAAAGCCACTCGTAATGAAAACGTTTGATGCCCAAGACGGACTGTCGGCTGGCTCGTTAAGGTCAGCATCCTCCGCGGGCGACGGCCACCCAACCTCCCAGACATGGAATGTATGCCAGCTGCAGGTGTTTACAGCTGAGTGCTCTCTCTGCGAGATCATTGATCAGCTCGTCTCCGGTTTCATCGAGAACGACACTCAGCGTCCCCTCCTCGATGGCGGACGCTGCACGGTGTTTTACAACAAGCTTCTCTGCTGGAAGCTGTCTCTGCCGGATCATCTCACGACGAGCAACAGCGTACTCCCGTCGATACTATTATTGCAGTAAGCCTCCCCAGCCCTGCAGGAATTTAAAAGACGTCGTTGACAGGAGGTAGAACAACATATGAATTTGTACAGTTGAAGCTGCTCGCCACGTTCACGAGCCGCTCTAGTCTAGACTTTGACGGCCACGACCCCGTCTCCCTGCAAATCCTCCATGCGAGCTCCATGATCTCGAACTTGTGGATCTATCGCGGCCTCTACACCCTGAAACACGAGTACTGGGCTGCGGAGCAATGCTCGTTTGCCGTCCATGTTCTGTTACCGCATATGACGGACCCCGCCGTACACGACACGGTCGCGAAGGCGTGCTGCGTGCTCCACGAGATGGGCATCCGGAGTTGTGTATCGGGCCGTGCGGCGGAACTCCTCTGGGACATTGAGGGGACGGCGAGGGCCAGGGGCATTCGTGTTCCCCCGTATGGAAAGGGCTCAAGGGTGCCGGAAATGGGCGCCATGCCCACGTCTGTTGTGAAAGGAGTCCGTGTTTTTGACGGTTCGAATGGTGATTACTTTGGTGGCGCGGACGGGAACAGCTGTGTTGTCAGCTTTGACAGCATCATTGGCGATATTCAATTAGTGCAGCCTCGTTGAACAGACGTGTTGGACCAGATGGCGGATTGTTTTCTTGGGCTGTAAGTGCCTGGACGCTCAATACATGAGTCGAGTAACACCACAACTGTCTATTCGCCTGAATGATTGAGAATAAGGGGAAAAAAAGGGTGGGGGGGCACAGTACATGCAAAGAAACAAAGACATATAGACGAAATCGTAGAGCCACAAACCGTTATCCTCATCACCCTCCATAAGGACAAATCTTCTTCTTCCACCGCCCAGCCACTCCTCTCGTGACCGTCAATGAGCCCCCGCAGGCTCAACATCCTCGCCCTGAATCCAGACCCTCTTGATCTTGCGCGTCGCCGAGATCTCCTCCAACGGATTGCCGTCAACAAGCAGGAGATCAGCCCTTAGACCGTTTTGGATGATGCCGCGATCATGGAGACGGAACGCCGCGGCAGCGATAGACGTCGCCGAGCGAAGAACGTCCAGCTGCGCCATGCCCGCGTCGACGAGCAGCTCCAGCTCCTCGTGTAGGCTCTCTCCGAAGGGTGTCTGCGCGCCGGGCACCGGGTTGGCCGTGGTCCCGGCACAGATCGTCACCCCTGCCTCGTAGAGCGTACGCACGCTCGCCGCCGCGTTCTCGTAGTCGCCGCCTGATGTGGCGCCCGGGTTGTCGTGCTGCCGAAACCCGGTGTCATCAGCAGCAGGGGAGTTGTCATCGTCGCCTCCGGCGCGACCAGAGATATCCGAGACGGGGAAGCCAGACGGCCCAGACGGCCCAGACGGCCGGTGCGCTGCTTCCACGTTAGCTCCGCCGGGCGCGCGTCTCCGCATCATTGTCAGCGTCGGCACGAAGACCTTCCTCCGAGCGGCCATGTCTCGTGCCAGCGCCGGGTCAAGGGGTGCATCGAGTGGAGCGTGGGCGAAGACATCGAACCCGGCGCGCATGGCGCGCTCGTAGGAAGCCTTGCCGGTGGTGCGGGCGACTGTCAGCTTATTGTAAGCGTGCGCGGTGTCGACGATGGTTCTGAGGAGGGAGTCGCTGGAAGAGTGAACGTCGACGACGACCTTGACGAAGTCGGCGCGGTCCGGACCGCTCGCTCTTGCGGCCGCAAAAGCTACGGCGTCTTCGGCCGTGCGTATGACCACCTCATCCTGGTTGTCGTGGATGTGCGATTGGGGATCCTGTGGCAGCACCGCCTGGGTTCCGCTGGTGAAGACGGTCGGTAGTCTCGTCCGGCCGGCGACGTATACGCGCAAAGCCTGGCATTGCTGTGTGTTGCTGCTCTGGTCGATGACGGTTGTGACTCCATGCGATGCAAAGGCGCCAAGGTCGGCGTTGGCGCCCCTGATGTTGGCGTAGGCGTCTATCAAGCCAGGAATCAACGTGCAGCCTTGCCCATCGACGAAGACGTCCGAATTCTCGACCGCCTCAGAATCATCACCCAGGTAGTTCTGTATTTCTCCGGCGGACCGGGTGATGACGACGTCACTCGGCTCCAAGATAGCCTCGCTATCGAAGACACGAACGTTTTGAATGACGATTTTAGTCATGATCTTTTCACTCTCCAAGGGCCAGAGACCGAAGATAGACTGGCTTGGGTTGTCGATCAGCAGATCAGCAGGAGGCGCCTGCAATCTTCTTGACTTGGAAAAGGCTGAGTATCGTGTTCTGCAATAAGTGGCAAGGGCAACTCAGAAATTTCTCGCTCGCTTTTGAGGAGCCATTCCTTCAGGTTTATATTCCTGAAGAAAAAGAGACGAGGAGAAGAACGGCCAGGAATCCGTCATGACGCAGCAACTACGACGCGGTGACCCCGCGGCGGTGGGCTTCGGTTCCACAAGGAGTGAATTCTCCTATCGTCGAGGCAGGCAACCGAAGAATGCATAGCCTCAAGGTGGTGGTGGTGATCTGGGTTCAGCATACACAAGGATCGAGTGAGTCCGGTATTGCCCGGGTAAAGGGACTTATACGTAAGTGATGCAGCTTTTCCTGTTCCAGAGGCATGTGAGCGGGCCAGGCCCTTTCTCCATATCAATGTAAGTAGTCTACCTTCGCATGCACCGCGGAGACTGGGTATAGACGTACTTTGTCGCCAGAGATATCTGCGCAAGACGAACTCAGTCGCCCCTTGGATCTTGCTGGCGACGACATGGGTCGACGTCAGAAGCGGGCTGCATGATGGTACCCGTCGTAAGGCGAATAACGAGCTTGGCCAGTCAGAAGGAGCAAAGCCCCGGGATCGATTCCGGAAACTGACCTGTCAGCATAGAGGTCGCGGGAGAGCTGGATGAGTCCTGGGCGGTTGTGGCAGCCGGGTGTGCATGGGAGGAGAGGAGGCGTCTACGTGGGATTGGTCAGGCGCATCTCATTGCTCGAGGCCGAACGTGCTGCAGAGCCTCTGGGCCCCTTCGATGAAGACCTCCATGTCCCAAGGAGGTGTGCGGCATCTCAGCTCGTCGAAGTAAGCCTGGAGCCTGTCCTTAGGCTCTTCGGTGTGCAACGCAGCCAGAGCCGCCGCCTTGCCCAGCTCGACCTTCTTCGAGAGGAAGTGAGTATGAAGAATGGGGGTTTGTTGGGGTAGCGTGTCCATGAGTTCCATTGCTTGAGATGACTGTTGGAGCGGTCTCCGTCACCACAGGCGACCATCGATGCTGTGTGTACGCCGGCCTGATGGAACGGTCGGAGGTGTGAGAGGGAAGTTTGCTTTTCTGAACCAGCGGAAAAAACTGAACAGGTGCATGAGTACTTGTTGAAGGACCCGACAGCGCAACCAATGGCCCCCAGCAAAGCAGCGTATGACGCCTGGCACGGCTGGGCGGCTGTAGGTGTTGCTGGGCTGTCCGTCGGACGGGAACCGACGGCGCTGTGACGCACCCACTGTCGGACGCGAAGCCCGGAGATAAACCAACCCACTACATTGCTCACTGTCCTTCAGCGAAATCCACGGAGAAGGCTTCAGGCCGTCATAGCAAATTGGTGGGTACTGTGTAACCGCCGAAGCTGGCGGGTCGCCGTCCTGCCGCTTTGCGCTGGACCTGCTGCGCAAGCATGCCACCGCCAGTGCGTGGCACATCGCTACTTCTCCGACATCACCTATAGGGCTTGTTGCGCACCTCAAAGATCGCAGAGCTCAACGGATTGCCTAGGTTGGCCAGCCGAGTCATGCCCTTCTCTCCCTTTGAGATGCAGGACGCAGGTCAACAATCAATTTTGTTGCTTTCTGACCTAGAAGCCAGCTCATTGAGGTTTTACTGCCACGGCTTGACACCACCTTGACTGCATGCACCATGTGAGCGTATGTCGTTCAAGCTCACAACGGACCCCGCCCAGTTCGGACATGATTCCATTCCTAGTCAATAAGACTCCAGACTGCGCATGACATTCAACGTACTTCGAAGAGTTCTGAGCTGGATGTTCAGCTTATCTGATTCCGCGGCATTCTCTCTTTCGAGCGACAGCTTATACACAGTCTCAGCCATCGCCTCTTCGTTGCTCAGAGCACCCCATTCCTTTTCGAGGTTATCGAAGCCTTCTATGACAACCTTGAGGCTTTCCTTGTTCTCTTTGAGCTTCTTTGGCCTGTAGCTATGTAAGTCATGTGTACACCTCACGACCGAGATACTCACTGCTCGATGGCGATCAGGGACATCTTCACAGCTGCCCAACTGTTGATAAGGACATCGCGGGCCTCGATTGCGCGTTCGCGGCGGTGAACAATGACATATGAGTCACACATGAGCCCCAAAAAGGCCAGTGGAGCCGCGACAACATCGAAGTATCTTTGGGGGCTGAAGTTGTACATCTTCCTCGCTTGCTTGGCGGTTTCCTCGAATTCGTCAACCACTCCGATTATGTCTGCGTTGTCCGGCACGGCGCCTCGAAGCCCTTGGGCTTGCTTCAGGCTGGAAGAAAGTACTCCAAGAAAAGACACGGATGCAGTTTATGCAATATTGATGTGGATATCAAGAGCGATGAACTACCATCGTGAAAATGCTGGCGACGGCGGAGCGCGCCAATTTATACGGCCAGCGTTCAGACTTGCGTGATATGAATGCCCTCCAAGGCATGACCCCCACACCGTTTTGCTTCACAGTGACGATGAGGCAGTAATACAACCAGTCTCAATCGAACAAAGAAGTGGGATCCCAAATGATGGCTGCGGCTCCAGAAGCGCCTAACATGATGCAGCGACTCCGGCTGTCCGTCGCTATTGGCCCTCCTCTTGAGAGGGCGCCTCCCTAACCAGTGTCAAGGTGGGCGCCTCGCCCGGTGATCACCTGCCAATGAGAACGCTCCAGCAGCCGGCGAGCTTTCCGGATTTTGGCAGCTTGAGCGATTACCCGTCCATTCTCTACCAACTATATTGAGTGTTTGTCACAGGGCAGTGCCACGGCATATGCCAATATCCTCGACCAACCGCCGCGATGTCGGAACAGCACGAACGTGGACGTTATCTTAGTTGAACCAAGGGGATGTGCCACAGGTTTGTTGCGAGGACTAGCTTACCAAGAACCGGCCAAATTTTGCGTCCGCTTGGATACCTGCGTTGATGCCACGACACGAGATGCCCTGCCACGTCGCGGACAAGACACACACTAGCGCGGTGGATGACACTGACAGACGTCCGGAGGCAAGAATACCTTCAGGTCCAGTCAAGATCGATGCGACGCTCGAGCCTGTCGAGCCACAATTGTCGGGCTTGGCGCAGGTTGAGAGTTGCCTCGCCGGACTTGCCGTGTGGCTTGTGATACACGATGGAAAAGATTCGTCTGCCCTCGGAGTCACGGCAAAGGAAGCGAAAAGCCGAACCTCCTGCTGGTTCCACCTTGCAGCCGATACTGACCATTGCCTTGCAAAAGTCGTCCCAGACGAAGGTCTGCTGCTGGGTGCCGTCTCGCAGCGACAGCCAAAAGTCCGATTTTGGAATCACGACACGCGGCAAGCGACTCGGAGACGGGCTGCATGATGGCCGTCGGGTCGACCGCTGAGCCGGTCGATCAGGGTTTTGCTTTGATGTTTTTGTCGTTGGCGACGCGTTTGTTTGCGTTGAGTATCGGTGGTGGCTGCCGTCGGGGGCACCTTGCTGAAGACTGGGACCCAACGCTCCGTCTGAGTTTCCGTTGCAGGCGGCTCGGGACTGAGGGGCATGTCTTTTTCTATCTCACGGAATACGCCTTTAAGAGCGTTGTTTTCCTGTGATGCCTTCCACATCTGCTGGTTCAGTCGTTGCCAAAAGCCCCGGTGTCCTCCCGCAAAATTGAACTCGCCGGCGTCTTCCATCGCTTCAACCGCCCTTTCGAGAATCTCCATCCAGGGCCGCGGTCTGCCAGTCTGCTCCGCATAAAAGGAGTCGGACATTTGAGAGTATTCCACCCAGTCAGAGATTAATGGATGATGACCCTCGGTCTCTTCAAGGCAGACAGCCAAGACGTGTAGGTCGCTGAGCATCTGCGACATGGCTATAGGGAAGGACCTGTCTCCTCCGACTTCACGGTCGATAGTTCTCATGACCGCCGAGAATCCCATGATGTGAAGGGTCGGATCGTTCTCCCTGATCAGCTCCAACAGCTGATTCCCAGCTTTGGTGACTGATCCCGCTGGCGGTGGCATGATCCATCGAAAATGGGCCAACCTCTCCTCGAACGCGACAGAAAAAGCGCAGTCAAGGTTTGCTGCGATCTTCATAGTGTCTTCGTCCGCCTCGGTCAATAGAGAACTCCCAACCTGTCGAATGGCAGCTCCAATTAGGTGGTCCAAGTTGCTAAAGGTGTCGACGCGGCTGAAGAGTATGGTCAGAAGCTCTTTTGAGCCGCTACCTTGAGCCATTTTCTTTATGCCGCCCTGCCAAGAGGCTGGATCTTGACGAAGCTGCCACAGATAGTCCCTTGCTTCGTCGAGTGATGTTCTGATCATCTCTCTCAAATCGTCCAAGTTGATATCCATGTCGTGTTTGTATTTTGGGAAGGAAGTACGCGCAATGGGCGGGCTTCCTTCCGCACCAAGATCGTTATCTTGGATCATCGTCCCCGCCTCGTCTTCTGTCGCGCAGTGGATTGTGTCTGCAAAGCCGCCCAGAAATCGGTATATCTCTATTTGTCCTTGCAGCTGCCAAAACAGCGAGTTAGGACTGATTAGCTTCGAGCTGATTTGCAGCGGTGTTTCGTGCTCTTCGACCTGGGAGACAGCATCGCCGTAGAACCGAATTTCCCCACTGCGTCGGAGGATCTGTCGTCAAATTCCAAGTGCGACACGCCTTCCACCATAATCGGATTTGTACGCCCTGCCCAGACGCTGAGCAGATGATGACGGCCATCTGAGCGACGGAAACGCTGAGGCGGCAACCGGCACCGCGTCTCGAGCAACGATGGTAGTTTATCACTGTCGGAGAGATCACCGTAGTTGAGTGCCGGACAAGCACAACGATCGTCAGCCCCCTCTACGTGAGCGTATATGTCAGAGTTTGGGAGCTGGGCAAGCCCATACTGCCGCAGCATCTGCATCCTGGCGTCGGTCTCTAATGCCGCCCATCTCTTTCGGAAGGCGGGAAGGTGTTCCTGCTTCTTTTTAAGCTTGTTGAGGCCGTGCAAAACCTTCTCCTGTCGTGAGGAAACAGCCTGCCGGTATCGTTCCCTGTCCATGAGAATCCTTTGTGGTTGAGGTTGTGCCGGCACCGTAGGTGCGGTCGATTTCGCGCCACCGCACTTGCCGGTTTGGGCCGAAGATGCGGGCAAATGAACGCTGAAATGGATGCTCCGAGATTTTAGTAGAGGCCTCGCCTAGCCCCAAATCGTTCACGTCAATCTTGAGCAGCTTGCATGCCCTGGCTGTCGCTTCGACTTCTCCGCGTACGTGGTCCTGGGCACCCTTAATCCACTTCTCCAGGCTCGTCCAATCGATCTTCTTGCCTGTCGCTTTCTCCAACACTCGGACCGCCTCCGCGCCCGGTAAACTGTCGAGACGTGCCGCGAGATTCAGGCGCGAAAGGGAGTCTATGATATCGTCAGGGTTCCCAAAACGCCGAAGAGAGCTTCGGAATTCCCGCAGAGCATCCCATAAGAGATTGAACTGCTCCAGGTGCTTGTCAACCCAGATGACGTAGTGGTCCATGGTGGCGGCCTCCATTTCTCGCGTTGTCCTGGGTAGCCGGTGTTGCCTGAGGGCGACGGACGAGATGTTCGACAGCGTGTCACTAAGAAGAGAAATACCAAAAAAGCCGAGACACGGGGGGTTCTTGTACAGAGTATCGCATGGAAAGGTCCCGCATGCAAGCGCCTGTGGAGAGCAGACATGTAGATCTAGCCCACCTTTGTAATAACGGTGACGCCACCCGCGGCTAGGAACGGAAATATGCGCGCGAAAGGGAATATTGCGACCGGCGGATGCTGCCAGGATTGGCGGCATGGATAACCAGAAGCTCTCGACACGGTGTACAATACATGGACGCGGTACAGCGATACATGTTGAGGTGGCTGGGTACTATTTCGGCTACAGTGTCCACTGAATAGGGCTTCCGAAGTGCGGTAGCCGTTGGCGCTGTTGGGCCTCTGAATCCACATTACGATTTGCAGATGTACCCCGAGGCGGTGGGGCGGCGCGTACAGTCAGTCGGCTCCGTCCGGATGGCCACATGCAGAACCTCATAACATGCTCGGAGTCTCCCCCGCGCCGGCAAAGACGCAATGGCAGCCAGATCGGTCCGGTGTCAGAAACGACGATCTCGGCGGTTCAACAAGCCTTGGGGTGATTTTGGCGGGCCGGGTGCCAAACCGGCCTTTCGAACCTCATACTGAACTGTGATGCCTCGTTTGCCAATCACTGCTCCCACCACGCGGCCTCAAACCAAGATACAAAACGGAGTGTGGTACGCCAAAGCTGTTCATGCATCGCCGGCAGCGTCTCAGCGGGGTGTCCAAGGCAATGACAGACAGCAGCACACCTCACTCCCCGCGGGTACTCTGCCAGGGCGAAGGCAAGACAAGACGGGATAGCGCAGGCCGGAAGAAGGTCGTCCTTGATGTGACGCTGTGTGCGACAAGTGGCCCCGTCCGATCCTCCGTCGAGCCATTGGCAACGGCACCGAAATCTACACGGAGTGGATCCCGCCAGCGGCCGCCAGCGGCGGCACAGGATGCGCCGCGTCTTCCGGGTGGTGTACTGCAGGGGCATGCTTGGCCGCCTGAGCGTCCCATCTTCCAGCTCCGGTATTGTCATCTATTGACGTCGGATCCGATGGGCTTTGCCGTGTTGGTGAAAGATCATGACAACAACACCCAAGCAGACCATGACTCATAACGCGCACGATCTCTAACGACAAGAGGGGCTCTATGTAAGGTCGTCGCGGCAGGGATCAAGTACTTCAATTGGTCCTACACGCCCCATCTTAGCCCAGCTCCGGCGTTGAAAGATACAACATCAACGACAACGGGGGAAAGCACAGAAAGACGAAGAGTCGACAGCCACCCAGCAAACCGGTGCACAGGTCTCGGAGCACATCCGTGCTACTCCTTGCGCTGCAGTCCAGCCCCATTCGCTGAGTCTATAATGCGTCTTGCCCTACTTCGTAAACGATTCAACTTGACCTTCAGCGGGCAGTCGGATCCCTCTTCGCACTGATGCCTCGTCTCAACGCTCAGTCCAGCCAATCGATTAATTATCTCCGTAGCGGAACAAGTGAGAAAAGGTGTGATGGATGGCCACAGTTTGTTTTCGCAGAGAAATTCAAAATATTCGGCAACGCGAGTCTGGGACGTGCACAACATGTCCAGTAATTCTTTGTTCTTACAGGGGTGGCACTGCTTGGAACCACCCGGGTGTCTCGACCGCACAGGCCGCAAAGTACCTGACATTTTTTGAACGCTCGCCGATCGCCCTGCAGGACACCCACCAAGCTTTGGATTTCCTCGTGTAGTCGGGTCAGTGTGAGATTTCTATTGCACTCGAGCGCGTCTAATCACTGCTAAGCGGACATACTTGATTGAGGAGAACCGCGTAGGGAAGCTGCTTACTCTTGACGTTGTCGGGAAACGCAGACAGGATTTCATGGTCCGTCCAAGTGGCCGCAAACCCCAGCGGCAAGTACCTCACCGCCTGTGCCGAGATGGTTGGAAACTGATCCTTGGCCTCGAACAGGTACGCAGCCATGAGCAGCAGTCCGTGTTCCGCCACATCTTCAGGAGGTCTAGATTCCCGGAACCACCGGAAAATCCAAGGTGACAAGGCGCCATTACAGCGATATTTATCACTTGCTCGTGCGATCTGGGTAAGCAGTTGCAAGTCGATGTCATTGTGTTGGTCTGTGGTCTTATGATGAAGTGCTGACAGAAGCACGTCCATCGCCTCTGGGTCGTCCTCTTCCAGGGTGACCGCTGGCTGTTGCTCTGATCGCAAAGCCTGCCCTTCGCAAAAGTGAGGTCCAAGGAGAGTTGTGAAATACGGTGACGCCGCGACAAGAACTTCAGAATGGACCAAATATCTGCGGGTAGGCTGTGTGCTTCCATGGCGCGGTGTCAGGGCCATGTCGGCATGCGGATGCAGTTCAATAGGTCCGTTACTCTCCGTCGATTCGTGAACATCGTGGTCGATTGACATCTGGAGTGATTTGTCAATGTGATTTATCACACTGAGAACTGTTGACGCGAGAGATTTTTGGTGTGGCGGGGTTCGTTCAGCCATCATGCCCGCAAACGCTATCAAGGCGTATGGAGGAACTGGAATATGTACAATACTATACCTTCTAACGCACATGTCAAGATGCTTGCTCACCCTCGGCGACTTTGAGCGGATCGACTGTAAGTTCCGGACCCAGTTGTGTACGTTACGTGTATGAAAGCTTGTGCTTGAGTTAGTTTGAACACCAATACGGCAGTCTTTGTTTGCGTTCAAGCGCAACGGCGGCAGAAAATCAAAGACCTCGACATGGGCCTAGAAACTTTCCCGCAGAAAGTGTGCTTGCTTCTTATACGACTGTTCGAGTGACAAGCAACAGCCCAGGCCATCTCACAAACCTTGTTATCCTTGCACGCGCCTTAATCACCCGGAACGTAAGCCCCGTAGTCGCAAACTTCCGCGGTTGATACAGCCAAATAACGCAGTGTTTGGAGTGTAGTAGCACCAATCTGCCCCTTCGACACCATCTCTTCGTCACAAAAGGATTCCATGCTGAGAAAGTAGTAACAGACCCTACGGCCTATCGCCAGATTGCCCGTTATGCTTCTAAACTGGATTCGTCATTGCTATGAAAGCGCTGCGAACATAGTGAGTGAGGAAGACGAGCAGCAAATGCTTGTGACTACGCAGCCGGCCTAACAAATCCATCAGAAATGTGGTAGGCGAAGCGCGGGCCAGGTATAATACCCGCCGCTATGTTGTGACATTCGAACACACCTGATAGCGCAAGGCGCATGAGCTGGCAGGTGCTTACCATCACCTCGTCTGAGCTACACGCCACTTTGGCCGCTGCGCCCTACGCACCACAACGTGGTCGTCGTTCAGAACGTGCCTGACCAACCGATCGCAAACAGAAGCGTAAGCCCGGCTGAGGCGGGAAGCCGGCAGTTGAGATCGTTGATGCCTCCGGAAAGGGATTCCGCCTACATCGCCTATTCACGGACTCGATGAAGCCAACTCGGTCGCTCTCGTCCTGAATGACAGTGCGTCTGCGACTAGTTCTGTCTGCAATCACCGGCCCTGCTGGGCACTGGCTCCTCGTCTGGCTCGACGATGGCTCCGCTGACGAAAAGCTACTGGAACCTGACGCCCCTTGTCTTGATGAGCAGGACGAAGAAGGCTCAGGGAAGAGGCTAGCAGGCCCCGAGGGAACCGGCGCGCGCGCCCGTTCGCTTGTCTTTTGTTTCGATTTGTCGCATTTCTTCTGCCGCGAACTCGAACCCGAACTTGGAGTTGGACACGCGCGGCTCGCCTGCTCCTCTGCGACACCTTCGGCGGTGAGACGCGCCTCGAGCCGATTGCCGTTGAGCAAGTCGGCAACGCTTCGAGCAATGCCTCCGGTTCGAGATGTTGCGAAGGCATGTCCTCGGTTATCACTGCCCGACCCTCCAGGGACCTCGACCCTTTGGAGTTCGGTCTTGACAGGGGTCACTCGTACTAGACTTCGCTTGATGGACGCTTTGATCTGGTCCTCTGGAGTGCTGTGCTCTATTCGTCTGATTGTGATTCGTCTATGTTCAACAGAGACAGCCTCGGTAAGAATCCCCTGTTGGATACGTACGCAGGGCATTCAGGACACCAGGCTCCCTGTATCTGAGTGCTATTGTATCCCTGGCTGAAGTGTCCGAGGTCCGTTGAAATCTGCTGCAAGTCAGAAACTGTAGGAAGGGACCATGCAGTATCAGACGTTCTCGCTTGCACAACATGCGATGAAGATTCCGAGGATGCACGACGGTGAAAAAGGTCATGGTGAGGTCTATCGCATCGAAAGAGCCGCGATGGCAGATCTAGCTAGCTGGAACGTGAACCCTGGCCGAGGGGCTCCGCTTGTGCCACAAGACACAGCGGGCTGTCCCGCCTAACAGAAGCCGCCTATGCGGCCGTGCCCACGGCTTACTGGATGCACAGGCACCTGGAGAAAGGCGAGGTGCTAGGCACACCACGAACTGGTGCACGCCCTGCACAGTGCGTGCCATACTATCAAATGGCGAGCGTAAGGGAATACAGCAGTGGGTCCTTTCCGCTTAGGTTCTCGAGCAGCGGGACTTCTCATGCTTGTACGGCATTGGATTCGTGCGGCGTCTGAACAGCGCAAGCTGGGAGTCCGGTCCTCCAAATATGTCAGAACCAATGATGCGGTTGTATGGCGTGTTTCCTTCACACGTTGATTGCGGTTTTTTGGCGAGTCGGAAGCCCTTGTACAGTTACCACATGTGAAGAGCATGACGAAAGGCGGTGCAATTGATGGAGCGGCAGTAGTTGGAAACGCAGGCTGCCTTGCCATGTACGTGCTACTAGCTACAGAGGATTGGATTGGGGATCGCTTTCGTCCTCTCCATCACTCGAAGTTGCCTCCGTCTTCGAAAGAGCAATCACCCCCGATGCAGCGGTGAGACCGCCAGCAAATTGAATGGCCCCGTGCACAGCTGCTACCCCGTACC